AGACTAAAACATAGTACGGTTTTTTAATAGGAACAAATATGTTTTATTCCCTTTATAATACAAAATTGCATATGATCTGGCATATATGCTCACATTAGCGAGAAGTATTATATTGAATAATGATTGATTATATGAATGACTCTACGAATGTAGTCATTAGCAACAAATGTTAAATAATAACTAATTACTTCAATGACTATTCAAATTATTTTGAATAATTTCTTATTCTACTTGAATTGCGTAATTGGTTATTTTTCTCAAATGCAGAACACTTTAGAAATTTTCATTGTCAAACGCTAGAATATATAAAACTACTCTATTTAGGTAAAAGTAATAAGTTTAAGTCTCGTTTGCTTAAATTTCCCTAAATTCTACCCCTCATGGGAGAAAGTGAATATTTTCTTTAGGAAAGATGCAAAAATATCAAAAGGATGAAGAAAATTCGAGTAATCTAAAAAGGACTTCGTCTGGAAATTTGAGCAATTATTTACAATATACGGAGTAAATGTAATATTTCGATTATTAATATTTAATACGAGTACATATTATGAAATCATGATACTTCAAAATTATATTTCAAAATAAACCTAATGATACTAAATACAGAGTATATATTATAACAAAATACTTTGTATATTAAGAAAACACAAAGACATTCCAATAATATGGATTGGAGTTAAAGGATTGAAAAAGAAATAGTATGTTTTTCCTTAATTAGTTACATACTCTTATTATCATCTTGAGATGGATCAGCTGAGAGAGCTAATGAGGTGAAAAGAAGTGCACCAACAAAAACAAAAACACAAATTCCAGAAATGGACTTCATTTTTTATTTAAATTAATCCTTTTGCTTTTAATTGATTTGTTGTGAGGAAGGGGTAGTGGTGGTATTTATACTCAAAAGAATTGTCCTAAAAAAGAGAAAAAGACAAATGCATTGAAGATTAATAAATGAAAGAAGGGGCATTATATAGTTTGTTGGTTAGATGGGGGGTGTTGGGTTGAGGGTTATATTGTCTTCTTTTTATAGTGCTGATTTTATTTCCATCACAATATTATCGTACTCATATTATTTTTTTGGTCAAATAATGACATTATTTTACTAATTACTACTCTATGAATTTTGAAAAGTAGTATACTTCTTATTCAGTTATAATGATGGAGTAAAGTTTAGATAAAATTCTTAAATTAATACTCGATCAATAACTATGTATTTTTAAAATTAGCTAGTCACCAGGCCAAAATTAATTCATTGTTGAGATACTACTACTCCTTAATTAATAATGATGCTCATTTTAGTTCCCTGGCTAGTTTTCAAAAATGGTCCTTTCGAATTGGATATTTTCCCAAATTAATCTTTTTTTTGAAATAAAAATGTATTAAATTTAGAAAAATAATTTAAAATGTTATAGGAAGAGAATATAATAAACAAAAATATAAGTATAATTTAATAAATTTGAAAGTAAAATTTTCATATTGTATTAAATTATTTAGAAAGCTATCGTGTAAATAAAATATCTAATAAAACGTTTCATCCGTTCTGAAATATGTCTTCTGCTTTGCTTGACAATTTTTTTTACCGAATTGAAGTTATTTTCAAATAAATATAACCGTATTACTTTTTTCGTAAACATAGGTCTTAGTTCGGGTCTTTGGGACACAATGAGTATCATGAAATAAGATTTGGTTTCAGAAATAATAATTTTCGTTAAATAAATTATACTCCGTAAAAATTACGGAGTATAATTTATTGAGTTTGAAAATTATAAAATTATTGAGACTGGATAATACTTCCTTTATCCTAAATTAAATTGTTTGTTTACTATTCACAAAGTCAAACTTCATTTACTTTCTTTCCTGTTCTCGTTAGTCATTTGATAAAATAATATATTATGGTCCAATTTTTAAATATGTAATTTTTACTTTTTAATTGTACACTATTTAATTTGTATATAAAATCATTTGAAAATGATTTTAGTCAAACATTGTAAACTGAAACATGCGATTTAAATTATGACGGAGGGAGTATAATACTTCATTCATCTCCAAATAAGGTTCATGTTTATTATTCACATAGTTAAAGTGAAACTATTTTCTTTAATATATTCTTGTCGATCATTTTAAAAATAGTAATGTCACCACTTATTTTATAGAACTCTTGTGAATATTTTTTATATTTTTATTAAAATATCTAAGACCAATTTTTATTTATAATTTTTAAAAATAACTTCAATATGCATACATCGTAAACCAAAATAAGAGCCTTATTTCAAAATTGAAAGAGAAAATAAATAATGTTTATTAAATATTTTTGTTTTTAACTTCCGTAAAATATTTTTGTTTGCATAAATATTTTAAAGATTTACATAAATATCTTAAATATTTTTGTAAATATTTTAAAAATTTACATAAATATCTTAATTCACATAAATACTTTTGTTTGCATACATCGTAAACTAACCAAAATAAGAGCCTTACTTCAATAATTTTTAAATATTTTATTTTTAACTTCTGTTTAGTTTTGTATGTAGTCGTTTTATAACTTTTGTTAAATTTATTCGCAATTCCGCATTCTTACATTAATATCTCTTTTGGTGAGAAATTTATTTTAATTAAAAGCACACATTTAAGCCCCACTTAGCAATAACGTTAAAGTTTAGGGTTAACATTTTAGAAAGATTATTTAATGTTAGTCTTTAGCGTTAACATTAATCTACACTGTTATAACTTTGTTCAAAATGCTAACGTTAATTAAAAATATATATTGTTCACAAACAAGACCTTAATATTATAATAATTCTATACTGGAAATTTACTTAAATTGTATTAAAACACAACGACGTTTGTAATGCAGTATCATATATTTTTATTTCTCAATGTAGTACCACTGTTTAATTTCTACTGGTCATTGTTAAAGTAATGTCTACCGTCATTGGACATCGTTCAAACTAAATGTCCACCATCACTGAATATTATTTCCGTCACTAGACATTATTCAAGTACTCCGTACTAGTATTTAAGAAATAAAATATTTAAGTACTATATTGGGAAAAGACATACACCGTATGTTTTAGTATTATTTAGTGTAAATTTTACTTTTCTATTCGATAATCTTTAAAAAAAATTACTTGGATTGTTTTAAGACAAATTACTCCAGGCGGTATATCATAAGATTGGAAGGTATTAACATAAATATTTTCCTATTAAAAAAAGTAGTATCATCTTCGTGCGTTGCACTCTTTGTATACATTATAAATTTAAATTGGTGTTACTATAAAAGGAAATAATTACACCATATAATGAAATATATTATTTTCTGTTTATGTTAAACATAAATATCATATAAATTACAAATTATGAAAAAACTTCTTTATAAACTACATTAGTGGTACATCTTGTGCAAACATGCTCTACATCGTGAATAAGAATCTTCACGCCATTACGAATTGTTACTCTTGACATCACAACATATAATTGTTCATGACTAAACACTGGTTTCTATAACAATAATCTGACATGTTTTAGTGATTGGAATTGATTCTTATTAATTGTCATTGCATATGAAGTTACCATCTGAAATTGTTTTCTTTGAAACTTGAATGATATGCTTGCATCTGATGGTGTTGGAAACCTTGAAGTTGGAAGAAGTATGCCTACGACTCATTGGATATGAAAAATGTAAAATTTTAGTCTATTTATATTGTGAGCTTTGTGATTAATGTATTACATTTAATGTGCGGGTTGTACCTTGATTTGATGTTGCAGCTTTCAACTCAAATCAAATACCATATAGTATAGTAAATTCTATAATTAGTTCTTTATAACATGGTGCTTCCATATTTAGTTCTATTTTATTAAATATTACCTCTAGTTCTTCTTTTGTGAGTACTTTTCCACAAATGGTCTTTTTTTATCTTCTGCCATGTTGGTGTCAATTTCTAAGCTAAAAGTATAATTTGACATCAACCTTATGTCTAGTGACGTATTCCGATATTGGTTAGACGGATAACACAAAAATAATAACTATGATTGTGGGCTAGAATTCCAAAAAAAGACCACATCGGTAGACTATGGTTGTAGTAGAAAATTACTGTAGTTCACAAACGACTCGTTAGGAGCGACCTTTGAATTGTGTATGACAAGAAAGATATATTATTATTGTGAAATTACATTTCTAGCATTCAAATTAACACCAACATTATAGAACAACAAAAGAGAACTATTTGTGAAAAGATACTCATAAAAGAAAGATCTGCGAGAGTAATATTTAATAGAGGAGTACATGCTAAAACTCTCCTGTTATAAAAGATCAATTATTGTACAACGACTTAAACAAAATTTTGACTATTTTATACTCCCTCCGTACCGGAGTATTCGTCCAGTTTTGACTTTTGTAACTGTTCATCTAAGTACTTTGACTCATTAAATTTTCTCAATGTGTAAGCCTAAATACAGCCATGTGTGATCTTGTTTGATTTGCCTTAACATATAGATTATTAATATATAATTTCTATAATTTTTTAATATATACAAATTACAAGATAAAATGGATTTAAAAAGTGCATTGGACAGTGTGTAAAAATGAAAGTGGACACATACTCTGGGACGGATGTAGTAAATACAAAGAAACTTTCACTATTATTTTTATATGAGAACTTTCAATACTCCGTATATTTTAAGAATGTACTTCGGTGCTGTTTGTTTTTTCTGCAGAAAAAGGTCTGCAGTCTGCAGACCACATCTGCAGGAGAAGAGATGGGCCAAAGGTCTGCAGTCTGCAAGAGGAAGACTGTTTGTCTCTAACTTCTGCAGATTGTTTAAATAAACTGAAATTTAAAATAAACAGATTTTTAAAGTACTCAATATTTTTAAGCATTCAAATTTAAATAAGAGTTCTACAACACTGAAATAACAACAATAGCATTTTTTAAAATAACAATAATAACAATATTTCAAATAATTTATTCCGAACTTTGTATTAAATGCTCGGTAATTTCATCTCGTAACTTGATCATATATTCACGATCTGCTGCAGTACCGTGTACTTCAACCTCTTCTTCATCAACATCAACGTGCCTACGGCGATTTCCTAATGACACGTTTAGTTGATCATATTTTGTAAAGAAGTCATCGCTCAAGCCCTCTTTCCTTATAAAATTATGTAGCGCGAAACATGCAATGACAATGTTCCTTTGTGTAGCCAACGGAAATGGTGTCATCCTCTTCAATATAGGGAATCGGGCTTTCAAAACACCAAAAGCACGCTCAATAACGTTTCGAAGTTTTGCATGTGCATGGTTAAATTTCTCTTTATTGGTGAATGCACGTCTTCCACGAAAATCTCCAAGCCAATACCTCACATTACGATATGGAGCAATAAATCCTCGTGTATGTCCATACGCGGCATCACAAAGATAATACGTATCTGTAAAGAAATAAATCAATTAAGGTATTGAAGTACGATAGACATATTTAAAAAACCATAAACATACCTGGTGGTGGAATCGGGAATGGTGCATGTGGATCTGATAACACCTCTGACAATATTCTAGCATCATGTGCTACCCCTTCCCAACCAGCCACAATGAACGTAAAAATCATGTTGAAGTCACAAATTGCTAATACATTTTTATAACAATCCCCTTTCCCTCTTCCTCTATATAAATCTTGTTTACTACTAGGGACAACTGCGTGTATCAAAGTTCCATCTAGTGCACCAACCGCACCTTTAAAAATCCACCGTAGCCTCTTGTTTTGTCCTGGAATTCTGGAATGTTTGGATTCGGATTGAATGAAGTTTGTACTATCATATCTTTGGCGAAAAGCATCATCTTATCCAAGACTTCATAAAAAAATTTATTAATAGTTTGCTTTGAGTGTTGAAATATACGCTTGATAACCACGTAACGTTGATTATGACCGATTATCATAAAAAATATAGCCATCTTCTCCTCAACCGATACATGTTTACTATCCTTAAACGAATAATTCATTCTAAAATGTGCACATAGTCAGACAAAGGATTCACGAGACATACGTAGCAGTTCAGTTCATTGTTTGGGATTTCCTTGCCCAAACCTTTCCTTGAGAACTCTTCCTAACTTATTCCACGACTCTTTGTGCAAACTCAACCCTTTTTTACCCAACGTGTTTACCTCTTCAATACAAGTCTCTAATAAGCATTTTATTTCCTCATTTGACCATTGTTGTTTTTCTCCATTTCTGTTAATTAACAAATAAAGAGCAACAACATGAACTACTACAACAATCATTAGCAACAATTAACAAATCTGAACTACAACAAGAATAATCAACAACATGAACTACTACAACAATCTTTAGCAACAATTAACAACAAATTGTTCACGATTATATAAAAAAATAAAAAACATGTAAAAAAATATGGTACAAATTCAGCCCTAGGTATATGTAAACTGGAAGATACAAATATAATTCAATTATATAAAATCTGGAGATAAATTTATACCAGATAAATTCAATTACTCTAAAATATGTAACTCAATTGATCTAATCTTACCAATTGACTTTATAATGACCTAATTGAGCCCACTGCCCACCATTGTAATAATTAAAATGCAAATGGCAATTGATACAAGATAGGCTAAATTCACATACCACTGAGGAGGAGGCCGGCGCCGCTGGAGTTGCAATCTCAATTGAGAGGAGGAGGCCGGCGCCGCTGGAGTTGCAATCTCAATTGAGAGGAGGAGGCCGGCGTCGATGGAGTTGCAATCTCAATTGAGAGGAGGAGGCCGGCGCCGCTGGAGTTGCAATCGTGACTTGCAATCTCACAATTGCGAGAAGGAGGGCGGCGCCGCTGGAGTTGATGAGGAGGGAGATGGACGCCGGCGGAGGGAGAGAGAAGTCGCGGCGGAGGGAAAGAGAAGTCCGGAAGGGAGGCGGATGAGAAGAGGGTAGGTTTTAGATTGAGAAGGGTGAGAAGCTAAGGTTTATGTCTTTGTTTGGAATTGGAAGACGTTTTTAAGTGATTTGTCTTCTAAAAAACAAACAGTTTGCGCGTCCCTAATGTCTGCCCGCGTCTGCACGGCACAGACATAAGTGGTTAGAAGCTCTTCTCAGCAAAAAACAGACACCCCTTAGTTTGTAGCACCACATTCAATCTTATTACGTGAATGGGAGTTCTAGCATAAGAGCATCTCCATCAGATAGTGGAAAAAATGATAGTGTAAATCTTACTTTACACTATCAACAGTGTTTTACATCTCCACTTTTTATATTCACTCCAACCATATCTTCTACTCATATAATATACTTTTTTATGATATTTTAATATTTATCCATAGTTTAATTTGTAATCTACAAAAAAATAATTACAAATTTCCACCTCTACAAACCTAATCTGTAGTTGAAGATCAAAAATGAAATTGAACTTGGCGACATAGGAACCAAAAAACACAATCTTATCCTTTGAAATTGCAGACCCCCATTTGCAAAAACAAAACAAAAAATCTTTCAAAAGAAAGGAGTAGAAAAGGTGAAGATAATTGCAAGGAAGAAGAAGATACAGATATCTCCAAAAATAATAATTCAATTCATACCTATGATAGTCCCAACAAATAAATTTATGCAGACATCTTGTGCAAAGAAGAGAAACAACGAAGAAGATAGATTTGGAGATGGGAAAAAGGAGAAAATTGAAGCAAGACGGAGGAACCATATTTCCACTATTCTACACTAAGGTGTATATTTGGCAAATGAGAAATGAAAAATACACTACATTCTATTTATTACACTACCCGTTGGAGGCCTAAACTTTGCACAGTAAATGTTATACCTTCTATTTTTTACACATTGCTCATTTTTACACTCCCTCTTGGAGTTGCTCTAAGAAATAGGAATGTATAGTGCCTCCACGGCTCTAGGGGTGTATACGAATCGAATCGAAGCAAATATATCACTATTCGATTCGTATTCGATTAAAGTGATATGTATTCGAATTTGGATTCGTATATAATTCGAATTTTAAAAAACATTCGTATTCGATTCGATAGATATTTGACGTATTTGAATTCGTATTCGAATATTCGAATTTGAAAATATTATTAATTTTTTTCTTAAAACAAATTTCTTAAAGACATTAAATTATTATTTTATAATAATGTAAAATGTAGTAAAAATATGTTAGAATATAAATAAATTTATTTATAAATTATAATTTTCGAATATATATAAATTTATATGTACACAAATATTTAATATATTAGAATATATATAAATTTATTTATAAATTATAATATTCGAATAATTTGAATAATAAACGAATCGATTCTATTAATATTTGTATTCGAATTCGAAAATAATTCGAATCTAAAATATGATTTGTATTCAGATTCGAATTTGAATATAGCGAATACGAATCATCCTTTTCGAATACGAATCACGAATCGAATACATTTTATTTGATTTGTATGCACCCCTACACGGCTCCAACACCACTCGTACTTATGGAAAAAAAGAAATCATTTCGTTAAATCCATTTGTGGCCCTTCTCCAAATTACTCCGTAACATTTTAACCATGATTTTATTGATTTATACTTTATCCTTTAATTTCTTAAAAGTTGTTCTAATTTGAACTTGTATTTGATTTAATTATTTGATTTATAGAAGAGATATACTCTCTATCCATAAAAAGTTGTCATCGTTTAATTTTTTAGTCAAACTATGTCACCTTTTGATAACGAATTACGAAAAATATATATTTAGTAATAATATAAATTTAATGAAATTAAATTTATTATAAATTACATTTTTGAAATATCAAATTTTTATAATATTTAATTATTTTTAATAGAAATCATCCTAAATAGAACTAAAACATAGATAAAAGTACCAAAATAGGAGTTTTATGTTTTTATTCCCGAAATAGGACTTCGCACTGTGATAATGTGATTGTAATGTGACACTGTACATGTGCACATTGTTATACTTTTTGGTAATGTACATGACCATGTTTGGTAATGTAAATGCATTTTAAATCATATTTTGAGAGAAAAAAATTGAAAGTCTTATTTTGGTATATTTTCAATGTTTTACTCCTACTTTAGTCTTTTCTCCTATTTTAACTGCAATTAATTCAGGATTAAAGTATACATTTGGCCAAAAAAATTACTGTGACAATCTTCTAAGAAGAGTGAGAGTACTCTATATTTGTGTTGATTTTTCTAAATTATCCTTAATGTGATGATAGAAGTAAAATTTCATGAATAAATTATTAATAAAAGAGTATAATGTGATATATACAACAAAAATTGATAAGAGTATAAGTAATTTTTAATAGAATATAAAAAGTGAGTATTAAAAATATACTAAGGGATAATCTTGAAAACCCTAAATGTAGTTTTAGATCCTCATACATTGATAGAGATGTTCTATGACTTCTATCGTAGTCTTGGGGTCCACTTGCAAAATATTCACCTTCTTACACTTTTTATAAACTTGCAATTCTTTTATGATATCAATTCACAAAGGTCCACAAAATAATTATGAGTCTTAAAAGTACGTAATCACATTGATAGTATATTTGCTTATGACTTTATACATAATTATAAATGTTGATATAGTCGAAACGTTAAACGCCCATAATAAAATCAAAGCAAAAAATGAAATGAAAAAGTGGTTAAACTAGGAGTTAGCATTTGTTGGTAAGTAAGCATATATCTATCTACTTGGTACGGTAATAGTTAAAAGATGCTATTTCTACTTTCTAGTGTGAGCCATCGTGTTCATTTTGTTGTCTCATCAGATCTCTCTTTTACAATGTTGAATTGTACTCCCATACTCCTCCTACCTTCAAGCATCTTCACTTTGTCCAGCAAATCTTGTATGGTTTCTGAAGCATCCTGAATAATCATAGAAAAAAAGGTTGTAAAAAGAACAAAATTATTCATTTGGCTTGGCTTTTAAAAACACTAATTCTACCAATTTTGCAGTTTTTGATCTCAGAATTAGCAAAGTATTGTTTTTGTTATAGATTTTGGCTCCGTTGCGTTTGACATCAGCATTACGGTTTAGCGTTAACATTTCAGAATTTATCCTCAATTATTAAAATTTTATCTGAAACGCTAACGCTAATCGAAAACGTTGTTCTCAAACGAGCCTTTTAAAAATGACCATTTTTTATCAGAAAAAAATGACAAATTTATAATAGTGCCTATAACATAGAATAAGAGCATCTACTGGGGGTGCCAGTTACCTTTAGTCTGCTCCTTAGTCTCTCCTCCTCTTCCTCTTTTCTAACCAGTTCTTCTGCAAAACCGTAAGCTAATTCCCGGTCCTTATCAACGAACCCAGACATTTTCCCTGCCGTAAGAATCTGAAAACAGAGCATCATAAATGACATTAAAGCCCAGTTACAAGACTTTAGAATCCAGTCTCTGTTAATGCATGTTCTTTTTATCATGAACTCTTCATGGGAGATCTCTCTGTCCAAAACTCAAAACATATAAATAAAATTGGAGTAAAAAAAAACCATGTGAAGCACACCTTGTTTTCTAGTATCAGATTTCGGTCCCTTTCAAACTGCAAATCATTCAAAGCTGCCTCCAGGCTGGGAAGAACAAAAACAGGAAAAAAACAATAAAATTGGGGGCTTAAACAGGGTACAAACAACTGCTCTTATAAAGATAATAAAATAATATTCACCTTTTCTTGAGTTCAAAGTTCTCCTCCTTCATCTTATGTATCATCATAGAGTGGTGGGTGCAATTTATATCTTGTTCATCTCCACTGAAATTTCTCAACTGTCCAAAAGAGACAACAGGATATGAATACTTATAGCCAAAATTCTGATGATTTTGGGCCAGTTCTCATCTTACAAATATTAGGAGTGTTTGGCCAAAAAGCCTAATGGGGCAGCTTTTGTTGAAGAAGAGATTTTTGAATTGAAAAACAAGGGTAAACAACTTTTTTTGTTCCAAAAACATACTCCAACTAGTTTACAAATAGCTTGTTTTTCAAGTTTTTTTGCAGACAACTTTTTCAATCTGCACCTTTTTACCTTAATTTATTAATAACATAGTACATAAACATCTAATAGCTTAGTTGCCGAGCAGAACCATCATGAGGATTTGAGGATCTATCACAGAAAATCATTTATGTGGGGCTAAACTCCACCATTGGTCCTTCAACTTTATCAATTGTGCACGATTGGTCCTTTAGGTTTAAAAGTCCATAAATAGTCCTTCAACTTTATGAGTTATGCACGATTGGTCCTTCAAGTTTTAAAAGTGCATAAATAGTCCTTCAAGTACATGTCAGCCCTCCAGATGAGGTCCTTTTGACAGTAAATGTTAAAAGCTAAATGGAATACTAGCTAGCTCCATATAATACGGAGTAGTCGTACCTAATGGAATTTACTCGTATTATATGAAACTAGTATTTCGTTTAACTTTTAATATTTATGGTCAAAAGGACTTCATATGGACGGCTGACGTGTACCTGAAGGACTACTTATGGACTTTTAAAAACTTAAAGGATCAATAGTGCAGAACTCATAAAGTTGAAGGACTATTTATGGACTTTTGAAACTTGAAGGACCAATCGTGCACAACTGATAAAGTTGAAGGACCAATGGTGCATTTTAGCCTTTATGTGGGCATGCTTTAAGGAAATATCAGGAGACGGGAAAAGTGAATAAAGAGAACTCACATTTAAAGCTAAGCATCCAGCCGTTCTACCAGGCCTCTTATATTCTTTGATTAATGGTGCATGGAATGGATTTGCTACAGTCCCATACGGAACCGGGCCAACGTTCTCATAACTTGTATCTGATCCTAGCTCAAGCTTAACATTGTTTATGGAAATAGATTTATCGGAACAATGGTCATTCGAGATAAATCTCGAAGAAGACTTGCTTCTAACAGCGGGGGAGATGCTTTTCTTGTCACGCCTCTTAGCATAGCCAATCAGATGACAGTTTGTCACCCTGTAAATATTATGGACGGATATATTCACTTAAATCTTAAGTGTAACACAAGGCATTGAAATATCGAGATAAGAAGATATTGGATTTCAACGCACCAATATTCCTTCTGCATGGATTGCAAACGGTTTTCAAGTCTTGCAAGAACAATGGTGCGCTCAAATCCTTGTTTATCATGGGCTGGCTCTATGAAATTAGCTTCTAAGACACCTGTGGACAAACAAAATATTAAGCCACAATTTCATTCACATGACAGGTGAGAAAACAAAATGCAGAGAAGCAATACCTATCACGCCACGGCCATCACTTCCTGCAGCATTCCAGACCCTCCAAAATGGCTGCCGTTCAAATACTCATCTCAGGGAATTTTGTTCGGTAAACATTGATGAAAGATTCCAAGTAAAAGCAAAGGACAAAAGAGACCTTGATAAGCCGATTCTTATGATAGACGTTGAAACCTTGGATATCAATGTGATATTTTGCATCTTTGGCAAAACCAATATTCACCAAAGCGTACAGCTGATTAAAATAACATGTAGTTATAACACAGACCTTAATTAATGTTATCAAATGCCCCAAAAAAGGGGGAAAAGAGTAATAGTTTAAAACCCTTACATTTGGGTTCTTATGAGCATGCTCGCCAGCAATAGGCTGCGGTCTATAAGTTATCTCTTTTGAAAGCATCATATCATTAACTAAATTATGATGCTCAACATCCTCCCCTCGTAAAATGATTCGAAAGCCAGATGGTAGCTTTAAATACAAAATTGACGCGTAACTCTGCAAAAACATGAGTGTAAAATTTGGTTGTTTTGGGTAGGATAATGCTGCTGTAAAATATTATTAAGACAAGTACTTCATATGAATAACAAATTTGCAACAACATAAAGTGCAAGTAGCACTATGCGTACTCTTAATGAATGTTGGTAAGTCAGAAAATGCGTAGAGTCTGGGTAAGTCTTTGCCATCGCAATCTTCTTCTCATCCCGATTAACACCCCGTATTTGAATGTCCTGAATGAAGATAACATGGATTGCAAAATTGAGGAAACAAAACATAGACAATTGGTAGTGGTGGTGATAGAGAGGGGGCTCAAGGGAGTGAACAGCAGATTAGTGTGGGAACAATAAATTACATGTTGATCTGTGTCAAAATCAAGCTCTGGTGATCCTTCATCATCCTCCCACAGATTGTATATAATAATACGAGTGCCTTGATCATTCAAGAAATCAAACTGCAAAATCACGAAAGTAAATACTCCGTAGAAGTTAAATTAGCAAAGATGAAAACTGAAAGTAATTGTTAACTGTAAAAAGATTAATCCAAGGCTAGGGAAAAGAAGAGCATCGAATTATAACATACCTGCTGTAAGAGATCATCTTCACTTAAATATGGAGACCACTGCATTATAGTCTCTAAATTTCTGTTCCAGTCATTGACAGAAGATCTAATCATCATATCCCAAGATTCTCCTCTTTTTTCAAAATCAATCTTCACTAACAATAAAATTGAGATGTTAGTGTTCCCTATGTAGTGTACTTAATATGCTGTGAAATTGAGATACTATAAAATAGAAAACTATCATACCATGGGAACCACGATATCTTCTTTTCCTGTTCCCCTTAAAAATGAGTAGGATAGCATTCCAATACTTTGTGTAGGACTAATAAAAAAAGGTCACTTAGCAAAGCCTTTATAAAGAACAAATCTTACAGACTTAATATGGTCCAAAAGTTACAAAGGCAGTCCTATGAAAAATACCTCCTCCCATCTCTAGCCTGGCAACGAGAGAATACAACCACATCTGCTCCAAGCCTCATAGAACTTGTCTTAAAACCGTTTCCATCTGTTATGAGTCATACAACAAACAAATGAAGGAAGATTTGAATAACTCTAATACATAGATTAAAGTGTCCAAAAATTATTTGTTGCACGGTAAAACACTAAAACCAAAAAAAAAACTGAAAATGATTTTGGTGTTTTGATTAAATTAGAAAACTCACATTGGCCAATGGTATTCGCCATTTTGCTTTTTGCAGAATACCCAAGAGACATGCATTGTCGCATTTTATCAGGAGTCATTCCCCCACCATTATCTGAAGGCACAGTAAAAATTAATACAACGATGAGCTCCACTATACAAAATTATACTCCGTATTGACGGAATACTAGTATGAAGAAAACGAAGTTATTGAGCGGCTGCAAATAGAAGAAAGATTTAAGTATACCATACCTTCAACAAGTAAGATCCTACTGTTGTCTCTGTTGCTATTCAGCACATCTACATTGACATAGGTAGCTCCATTGCAAACCTGAAGGGTGTACACGCAACACAAAAATCAAAATAAGAAGGAACAAAGGGAAGAGGACACAAGCAATGTTCAGGACTTGTAAAACTATTCCCCTTGCATGTTTTCCTCTTTTTAAAGAAATAATTGGGTAACTCAAGTCATTTTTCTGCTATTAATTACTCGCAATTTTTTTCTGCTATTCATAAATGTGAGTAAAAAAGTTAATTAAAGAAAATCAGAAGATAACAAATGGTGCCACAGATACCTCATCTAAAGCATTGTCTAAAAGCTCTGCAAAAGCTGAATTTTAAACAAACAAAAAAAAATTGATCAAGAACAATAAAAATTAACAAATTAACAAAAGAGAGCTTCAATTCAGTTCTTCATGAAATAAAAATATAACCCCTATATACTACTACGTTAGTACCTCCCAGAGCCCACTTGTGACTCGTGGCATTCGAATGCAGGAATTTAGGATGAACTCTGACATGATCTATGGCAACTACAATACACAATTCAGTCATCAATAACAATGAAAATATAAAATAAATAAAAACTCAATGGATGAAGAAACACAAACCATAATGCGAGGGAGAAGAAGTCGATTGAACAGTTCCCTCATAATCCCCTGCTTTCCAGAACTGCTTACACCTCTGGAACGCCGGAACACAAGCTTCCCCCTCCGGCTTAACAGCTACAGGCAACTGCTGGTTCCCCGATTCCACGCCCCCCGGAGTTGACGGCGGCAAAGCCCGTATCCTGGAGTTGAAACAAGCGCGCTCTTCCGGCGGAAGAGGATCCAGAAATCCCAAAGGCAATGCGGATTCCACGGCAGCTCTGGCCTTCTTCCTGCAAGGACCTGGCGTTCCATCCATATCTTCTTCCCAGTAATCTTCGTGGTCATCAAATCCGTCGTATAACGAACCGCCGTCAGTTATGAAAAGCCCGTGGCTGGCGGCGATTCCCGGTACGATCGCGGCTTCCTCCTCCGCCGCCGCCGCTTCTGCTTTGACGACAGCGGGTTCCATGGCGGGAGTGAGTACGGAGACGAAAGCGAACTAGGGTTTTTGGGGGAGTATAAACCGCGGAGAAGAAGACGAGGGAAACGGGAAAACTGAATTTCGAAGAGTTTCCTAATGGATTTATACTTGTCGATGTTTTCCCACCCGCTGGAGGAAAATTGTACGTGTGGAACGTGGGCGCCGGGAATGTAGGAAAATATTTCGCGGAATCCCAACGGTTTGTTATTCCTTTGAGGGTGATTTAATGAGGCCCACACCCTCCACGTCTTCTAACCTGTTTTTACTTTTTAGTAAAGTGCCAAGAAATCTTGGAGTCAAACTTTTTTTCCCATTTAAATTGAGAGGAAAAAAAATTAAAATAAGAATAAAATATTAAAAATATATTAAAGTATGAGTTGATTTTTATTTCCAACATGGAAATTAAAACATATATGCACGGTACCATTGATGACCATATACATTACAAAAATTTGTTATAAAATGTCATATACAGTTTGAATTCATATTCTGGTTATAAGTTTTATTTTAGTACTTTTTTTATGTTTTCTCTTATTTAGGGTGATTTTTTATCAAATTGTTGTTAATTAAACTAGTAATACCATAATGTGAATTCCAATTTTAGGATAGAATCATAGAATTTCTATTTTGGTATTTTATCTATGTTTTGCAGCAGGAGATTGTCCATCATGATTTACCAATAGTCTAGATTATTTTAGGATAATTATATATGTGTGTGTGTGTGTGATACACACACAATACATGGAGATTAGTCTATACGAGATTAGCACTATTTATGCTACTGCGAGCTAGAATTTAATGTGTTACACTTTTGTGGCCTTTTCAGGTCCCTTTAGATATATTCTTCCAGCCTATATTTTTTATATCTATTCATAAATAAATAAATAGTATAAAAATTTAATATATTAAAATGACAAATTAAAATGAACTTAATTATCTTAAATTTATTTTTTCAAATGAAATTATAGTAAATTTATATTATAACTCAATATAATTTTTTTATAAATCATAGACAAAGTTTTAAAATTTTAATAGGGGGGATAGAAATAATATTAATCGCATTTTTCATTTTCATAATAATTAGGGAAAACAAAAAGACAAAATATGATTTATGGTAAGAGAAGTAATTTTTAATGAAATTTACACTAAATAGTACTAAAACATATTTATTTTTTTCAATGTAGTACTTAAATTTTTTTATTTCCTAAATAATACTTGAATAATGTAGGAACAATGTCCAGTGATGGTGGATATTTAGTTTGAACAATTTCGCGGTAAACATTTACTTGAACAATGACCAGTGGAAATTGAATATTGCTACTACGTTTAGAAATAAAAATATGTGAAATTACATTATAAAAATCACTAGGTAATTATCCTAATTTTTAATATAAACAACTTTAAAATACACAGAGTATAAATTCTATTTTAAAAGTTTACTAGTACTCCATGCAACCAAATAAGTTGATGGGCCATTGGATCGTTCAGCTTATGCCTAGCCCAACACCTGATTCAAGTATGATCCGAAGTACCTTGGTCCTAGGCCAGACTGGATTGGATTGAAACCGGAAAATCGGAATTACTAAAAGTATAGGATCAGAAACCAGATTTGATAGATTTCTGTCCAGACCGGCCCAAACCTGTTTTTTCTGGTCCGGCCTGGGTAAAAGCTTTTCCAAAATCTATTTTTTAATTTTTTGGAAAAATTACCTAAAATAATCTCAGCTTTACCCGTTATTTCAAAAATAATCTCACCTTTCACTGTGATGCATAATAATCCCAACTTTATTCAAAGTTGTCAGTTTTCGGTCGCCATTAAGTTTCTAACGGAGGGTTAACGGAAATGCCTGTTTTGGGAAACAAAATGAAAGTTAGGATTATTTTTTATGAATTTTCATTTTTTTAAATTTTTCATTTAAATTTTTAAAATTACTTTCTACCTCCATCATCATTTCTTTTTTCTTTTTTAAAGATTAGTCTTAGTTTAAAAAAATAAAAATAATAGATATAAAAAAATGAAAAAGTGAGAAATGTAACTAAAATGATACAAAAATAATAAAATAAATAAGGTAATCAATGGAAACTAACTTGAAATTGGTAAAAGTAAAATAAAAATATACGGGTGGGTTTTAATATTTTACGCACTATACAAAGTATTATTATATCACTTCTTATTTTTTAGAACAAATTATCTACAATAATTCCAACTTTACCAGACGGCTTGTTCTTTTAAAAAATAAGTAATACATTATTAAGACTCCATATAGTGTTTAAATGTTAAAACCCATACTCCGTATATATTAATTTTATTTCTTACCAGTTTCTGTTTAATTTATATTGATTACATTATTTATTTGATTAATTTTGTATGATTTTAGTTATTTTTCTCATTTTCATTATTTTTTATATCTATTTTTTCTAAGATAAGATTAATCTTTAAAAAATAAAAAGAAATGGAGGTAGAAAGTAATTTTAAAATTTTAAATGAAAAATTTAAAAAAATTAAAAAAAAATGAAAATTCATCAAAAATAATCTCAACTTTCATTTTGTTGCCTAAAACGGGAATTTCCGTTAACCATCCGTTAGAAACTTAACGGCAACCCAAAACTGGCAAATTTCAATAAAGTTGGGATTATTGTGAATCACAGTGAAAGGTGGGATTATTTTTGAAAGACCCGGTAAAGTTGGGATTATTTTGGGTAATTTTTCCTAATTTTTCTCTCAAATTGTTTTAACTTGTTTTTCGACAACGTAACTAGATTTGAATTTATTTCAACCATAGTCTTAATTTTCATATCCATTGAGTATGTACTCGGAAAATGTTCTGTTGATACTGGATTCAAGTGTCAACGGATGACACCAATTCATTTGAAACTTATCCGGTGTTCTGTTCAAAAAATTGAAATAAATAGTGATATGTATGTGTGCTAAAAAGTTTATCACGCGTGAAATCATTTACTATAATCTTTAAGACTCGTGTCTCTAAGAAGTTGACATGTGTCATCTTACGTGGCAATTTTTAAATGTCATCTCATATGGATAAATTGCATGTCATGCTTTAAATGCTCATTCATCATTTATGAAAAAATTATTTATGGTAACCTTTAAAATATGATGAGTTTAAAATAATATATTTTATATTGAAAAAATATGGACTTTTAAATTTATTGAAAAATATGTAAATAAAATAAATGTTATAATTTTTCAACAAAAATTAAATAAATCATTCATAAAAAAGAAAATAAACATGATTAGCCTGAGTCTTTTTTTCATAAAAAACGATAATAATATTAAAAGTCTTTTGAGTAAAATATAGTTTTTAAAATTACTAATTTATTCTTTTGTATGAAAACTTATCGAGCTAAAATATACCCCGGAGTAGCTTATCTTATGCCACCTAATTAAAGATGAGAAATTTATTAAAGAAATTTAGTGCATTATGATTTTATGTATATTAGATAATTTTTAATATGAAAAACTTTGTGGTTTAATGTATTCAAAAACTTTTTTAATAATTAAAATTTCCTTATATATATAATAGGGAGTACAAAAAATCTATCAAGATTTAAATTCTGTTTGAGATATTATATATATTCACATCACGAAATTGGTGGTATTTAATAGTATTTATTTATGATATAAAAAGTGTTTGTAAATGATACTCCCTTCGTCCCCCCGTTTTTGCCCACTTTCATTTTTACACACCATCCAATGTACTTCTTTAATCCAATTTATCTTGTAATTTGTATATTAAATTTTTTTTAGAAATTATATATTAATAATCTATATGTTAAGACAAATCAAACAAGATCGCATATGATTATATTTAGGCATACACATTGAGAGAATTTGATGAGTCAAAGTGCTTAGATGAACAGTTCCAAAAGTCAAAAGTGGACAAAAACTGGGGGACTGAGGGAGTAAAACTTTTAATTTTTAAATGAAAGTATTTTCATAAAGGAAATATAAATTTTAAAAAGAATTGTTTTCATCCTCTTTATAAGTAGGACTTTTTGAGCCTTTATTTTTCTTTATTGGAACATAATTTTCATAGAGAAAATATATAATAATAAAAATAGATAATTGAAAAATACATAATATTTCTGATATGAGCTGATGAGCATCAGTGCATATTATCATTTTTTTAGCTTCTTTCATGTATAATTGTTTTTTATAATGTTTTAAAAATTAAATTGGTTTATATTTGAAATAAAAAACCAAAATTTAAAAAACACATATACTTTCTCCATCTAATGTTAAACATTTTCGTTTTTATAAATTTGGATGAAAGTATTATTGTTTATTCGTTGTATATGCATGTGCACGTAAAAAATTTATTTATTTCGTATAATAATAATAATACACAGAGGTTTTATATCCACTCACTTTAAGTAGTTTCAAATGACACTAGCTTCAATTGAAGTATCTACGATACACCGCTTAAAAAATTATTGGTTTCTACCCTCGATACTCCGGTAAACCTCACCCCGGAGTAAGTGGCTCTAGAACCCTTTCGATAATAGTAGTTGTAATGATGATGATGATAATAATAATAATAATAATAATAATATGAAAAGTGCATGAAAATAAGTTTTAAATCACTATTGAAAAGGATTAGAAGAGGTTAGATGAAACTAAAAGAGTTGAAAGAGTTTTGAAAGTGTTGGAAAAAGTTGGAAGAATTAAATTGAAAGAAATTACAAAGAGTTGGAAGAAACTAAAAAAAGTTAAAGGTAACTAAAAATTAGAAAATATTGAAAGTTAAGGGTGCATTTAGTTGTGGGAAAATATGTGTCTAGATACTATTCAAGGAGAAAATAGTTTTCGCAAAAAAATCATTCTCTCTCACATATTTTATTGAAACTATGTTGATATTTTGGATAAAAACAAAGATATTTTGAGATAATTTTAAAATATTTTAGGGAAGCATAATTAATTTTTTATACACGATCAATTTTGAATCTTTTTATAGTGCTTTATTCTCTGTGGGTGGCAAGGGGAGGGGGTGGATGGGCACGGGTGGGAGAAGATGATGGGGGTGTGGTAGAAGGTATGAACTCAATGGAGAAATTAGAGTATTTAAGAATTGAGCAAAAAATATGTAACGCCCCGAAAATAGACCTACCAGAATTAATTAATTGATAATTAATTAATTATTGAGAAGGACCCAAAAATATGTGATTTATAAAGTTTGTCAATAAATAATAAAAATTATATCGTTTTCTAGAGTTTAATCGTCTGATCCCAACGGTTCAATCGGATTTCAATTCGGATAAAGTTGGACCAAAAAGTGTTCCCCGACTGGGACTAATTTAGTCCCAATCAGGGACTTGCGTTTACAGCCCGTAGAAATCAGTCGTCCACTCCACTAAGACGCCAAAACAGGAGAACGGAGGTCATCATCGTGCCTTCTTCCTCTTCATTGGGTTTTATAAGGACCACCTCTTCCTACCCAATTCTTCCCAAATTTCTTCTGAGAGTTAGCTTTGAGTGTGGAGAACGTAGTGGTACTGTCATTTTGGTGCAAAGTCGCCGGAGCTAAGAGTATTTCTCGCCGGAAAATTCGCTGGAAAATCTTAAAAGCCTTCATTTAGGTTTGAGGTAAGCCCGTAGATATATCTAAAAACTAGAATGTTCGTATATATCGTTTCTACGTTCATAAACGGTCATTTGGTTGAGTTTTGTGTTTAACATGTTTGAAGGACCAAGAATCATAAACCTTGAATTTGATATTAAAATTATGATCTAATGATTCCAAAATGATCTATGAACCTTGGAAAACATCTCCATATAGTTTAATTGAAGTTCGGTGCCTAAAAATGGTATTTTCAAAAAATGGACTGAAGATTGAAGAAGATGAACAGTAGCTGAAAAACAGCAGGGTGGATCGATCATATCCATTGGATCGATCACCTAGAGCTTTTCTTTTACAGTCTGGATCGATCCAGACTACTGGATCGATCCCCCGAAAATCTGATCCGAAAATTTGTCCGAAAATACTATTTTTGAGCACTAAAATCTTATTTTTGATACCGATTGATTATGATCATTATAAAAATGATTTTTCACAATAAAAGTGATGTTTTTAACAAATAAAAATGTTATGTGATGCATGACGGTAAGTTAGGGTGTTAACACCCGAAGCTAGGGCGCTAATTGTTATTGAATATTATGTTGATTGATGATTATGGTAATGATTATTGATTGATGATTATGATGATTAAATCTTGATGAATATTTTGATTAAAAATGATAATTGTGAATGATTAAATCATAATGAATATATTGATAATTGTGAAAATAATATGTATTGTTAAAAGTATCTAGAAGACCTCTAATATATACTCATATTAATGTTGATTTAAAAGGTATATTGAAGACCTCTAAGATATACTCATTTAAGTTAGGCCTTGCGGGTATGAACCCCAGTGGCTAGGATTAAAATGCACGTACGGGATCCAAGAACCAAACTTGAGTACCTACTCGTTTGGGGGGTACCACCCACCCAACAGTGAACACTACGCTGTCGGTTTCTGGTTGGCCTTATGTGAAGGTAAGTTTAAGATTTTCAAAACTCTTTTATCTCAAACTAGGTCTAGCTTAAGGATTATTTAGATGTACTTCATACTGGAATATAGTTTAATTATTTAAACTAAAATTTGTTTAAGGGTTGACAAACATTAAAGTGATTGGCCTTAGACTAATAATAGTTTAAGGATATTGTTGAATGTTGAATGTTGAATATTGAATATTGAATATGAATAAATATTGAATGACGAATATTAAATTGAATATTGTAATTATTATAAATGACGGATAAATATTGAAATGTGAAAATAAAATAATGAATGAAAAATATTGACTAATGATTATTGAGTATCTGAACTGAACATTATGTGCATGATATCAAATGATTTTATTATGAATTTAGATTCAGTTTTTATGGATGTTCGACACATTAGATATGCTTACTCAGCTTAAACGCTAAGCATGTAGTATGTTTTATTTGTTAGTTGTTACACGCAGGTAAACAAAAAGAATGAAGCAATGATTTCCTGAAGGCAGATGGGACGAGATGGTCGGGCGGATGTGTGTTTTGGATTTGGAATACTGTTTGAAAGACATAAATTAATTATGTTTGTATTATGTTTTTATTAAAGCTTCTGCAACATTAAATTACTCCGTTATTATTTTGAATGACTTATTATGAAATAAAGTTTTAAATTTTGAAATGTTTTTTAATGTTTACGAATACCAAGTTTATACTTTAGTCCGAAAGGGGCTGCATACCTGGACGAATTAGGGTGTTACAAAATAATTTGATTCAAAACAAACAAAAGTCATTTTCATCTCTTTGAGAAAATATTATTCTAAAGAAAATGATTTATTCCTACCAATTATGTAACCTAACATTGGAAAGTAAAATTAGAATTTTCTAGAAAAGTGTTTTTCTTTCAATCAAATAGATCCTAAGAATTGAAGAGTAGAATCCAAAAGAACATGAATTTTGGAATAAACAATAGTTTCGTTTCGCCCGTGCATGACACGGATTAAAAAACCTAGTTCAATAAAATTTAAGAGATGTATTTGAAATAGGGGTGGGCACGAGCCAGTCCGAACCAAGATTTGTATAAACCGAATACGACTTGTTTTTATTAAAACGGTTTGAGCCACAACGAGTCTTCAAAATTTTAAAATTGAAACCGAACCTAACCGGGCCTGTTTGAAACGGGCCGATTTTACGGCTCAACATGTCCGAACCTATCACGATACTAATATTAAAAAAATAAAGTGATAATAAATTATTAATACATACATGGTCATTCAACATTTATCCACAATAATGTACTACCCCCATTGTCAATTTCAAGGTGATCCAACATAAAAAAGAGGCGTAAATGAAGACAAAACAATGACAAAGAGGAATAAGGGCGTAACTCGTAAGAGAGTTGTTTCTGGTGTAATTACTAATAACAATACGTAGTATTAAAAAGCGATCTGATCGTGGTCCCGGACAATTTCGAAAGGGAGAATCAGACCGACTCTAAAATCCATAAGGACCTACTCCTACTCCAGGTTCCTTGGGCGGTGGGTTCTCGACAGAGTTGGGTGGGAGGTTTAGGACAAAGTAGGCGCAGTGCAAAGGGAGTATCGTAGAGTTGGTATATGGTGTTACAATTTTTGTACGGATTACAACGGACGGGGAAGATGAACGGCCCCGGAAATAAATAATAAATAAAATTCTGAATTTATAATTTATTCAGAATATTACAAAATAAACAAAGTTGAAAAATCAATTTATATATCTTCAAACAACCTTGTTGTATGAGGACATTAAGCACTAGACATCGAGGACATTAAGCACTGGACAACGAGGTCTTTAAGCACTGGACAGCGAGGTCTTTATGAACTAAACCTGCAAAACAAAACACCGTGAAGGACAGCGGAGTCGCCAGAGCTGTCCTTAAGGTAGTAATGCCCGCCTACCGTACCGGAAAAACGTGGGCACTCTCCTCCCAGGATAAAACCGCTATCGTGTGTGGAGATGTACGGACCAACCACACACCAACGAACAAAAACAACGTAGGAACGTTGGCGACCAAAAAAAACTTTGAAGGGAATTGCCGGAAATTTGGCCGGAAAACCAAGAGCTCTCTCAAAAAAATTAAACAAGAAAGATTTTCTTTCTTTTTCTTTTTGTTTCTCACGTGAAGCACCACCAAGAAAGAAGAGCTTCTTGATTTGATTTTATAACTAAGAAATTGAAAAGTGTAACTTACACAATTTATTCTTAGTATTAAACCATGACATTTGTGGCACACTAATAGTGTGTTAATGGTGATTAATTAGCCATTAACACGTCCGTTACGCTACGATCCGTTTAAAGTTGGTCCCGAATAATTGGAGATTAATGGCCAGTTAACTCCGTAAAAATGGACTAATTTTAAACAATACGTAAAATTAATAAAAGAAGATTGGTTCAGTAAAATTGTAAAAATTGCAATCCTCACCATATTCTTTTATTAACGGGTTAACTCTGAGAATCAATTTCTCATTCACCCTCTACCATTTTTGGCGTAATATTTGTCAAAACATTTATCTCATTTAAGAGAACACACGTCCATTAATTAACGGTTAAAACCGTTAGTGGACCTATTGATAAATATACCCAAGTTGGTCCATTTAATGCCTATTAAAATTGCCAAAAATTCCAACATATGGTACATCCGAATGTACCTAGACATAGGTACATCTCGATAGTACTCATTCTGAAATAAAGTAGTACTCATTCTCGTACAAATATAAACATTCATTTCGAAATACGTAATACTTATTCTGACAAAGGTAGTACTCATTTTAAAATAAAGAAGTACTCATTTTTACATATTTGTCTAACATAATTATAATAAATAGCGTAGTCTTCATTATTAAAAAACAATACTCATTCCCAAATAAGGAAATGTCATTCTGAAATAAAGTATTGTTCAATTTTTTCACAATTAAAAAGTTCAGTACCATCATCAACTTCTTCCTCTGTTCGATTTGTTCCTACTCATTTATACTATAGCATGGAGAATTTAAAACATAGGTTTATTCATGTTTGTATTGAATAAGAATATGATAATTCTCACAAGTGCTGGTACTCCTTCTCAAATCTGCTGGTACTCATTGTCATATATAATACGGAGTAATTATCATACATATGTTCTGTTGGATAAAAAGTTTGCAAAATTTATAAAAATACAAAGATGTACCTAAAAGAAGGTAGGATGTACCATATAATTTGCCTCTATCAATGTATAGCTGGATGTACTGTATAATTTGAAAGTATGACACTGCCCATGTCATTCCATTGCCATAATGTCATGAACAGCCTCTATTTCTACAGTTTTTCCTTCTACTCATCTCCTCCCCGTCTCTCCACCCTCTTGCTTTGGAGTAATTTATCTGCAATTTCATCACTGAACAGATCAAGGTATTGCTGCATAAGATCATTCGGTTTTTTTATTCTATCACGACATTTAAAAAATAAATAAAATTCTCCGTCTGGTTTCTAATTCAGTACTCTTGTTTCGTTGATAACAATTGTGGAGATTTTCATGCATTTCCATCCCGACAAGCGATTCCTCCATTTCGATTTTCATGTGTTTTTGGGCAGATTCACTTCCGTATACTCTTTGTTCTGCAAACATTATGATGGTTAATGGATTTTGTTTTCTGGGTTTTTTTCTTCCTTCAGTTTAGCTGTCGACATTCGTGTTCAGTGTTCACTCATTTAATTCTTACTGTCTTACTGCTAAAGTTATGTTATTGTATTGTATGCATATATGCTTCTTCGTTGCTGGTTTTATATCAATGAGACATTGACTGGGCTTAATTTGGTGCTAGAATTTCTGAATAAAGCAAAATACAATGTCTCCAATGTCCCAGTCAGGCACACATCTTCCAACTTGTGATCCACCTCAAAACTCTTCTCCCTCAAACTCTGTCCCCGATCCTGGGTGAGTCTGCTCTTAATCTTGTTTACTTTTTTGTACGATCATCTTGTTTCTGACTCCTTGTTCTAATTTTCGTTGGTTCGTATGCATGAAATGTGAAGCAAGGTGATAGGTGCACTCATTGACCATGGATCGGAACTTTTGGCTGAAGACTGCGGTCTCCCTATTGTTATGAATTCTGCAAGTCTCGGTGAATTACTTTGTTTCAAGTACTGTCTTGAGAAGGATTTGCTCCAAGTTGACCCCACCAGCTTCTCTATCGATGAGGAATCTTCTCCTAAGTTTGCACAATATTATTACTCGTTGTGCTGCCAAGGTCGAGGTTAGAGCATTATATTCCAAGCAAAATGTCTAAATTACTGTTGATGTGATGTTTCCGTTTATGCGTCTATTTGATTGTGGATGCTTGCAATTCGCTTTTGTGACCGTGATATGTTAAACTCAGTTGCGGGAAATACCCTGTTGTTGCTCAATTGAAGTTGCAAAGTTTTGTGCAATAATCTGCATAATGATGTGCTGTTGGAGAAATTGTATGAGAATGAGTTTAAGGCTCTCCATGCCTGCATTGAGTTGGAAGAAATGGACAAAGAGTTTTCTTCCTATCCTGCTTTGATGAGAGCTTTGGTGGGTTGTCATTGATTGTGTTTCGATTAGTGTTTCTACTGTCTTAAATTGCCATAACTCATAAATGATGTGAGGCAGGTGCCATTATTGTTTTAGGCTACACAAGAGTTGGATGAAGCAGAATCTTGGTTCCAAAGACTATCCAAAGTTTGGGAACTGATACCCTCGGAATCAATCATTACTCTTCTAGAAGAGGTCTTGGGCGATTTAATTTCTGCCTCTTCTACTTCATATTCCGATGTTGCGAGAACTTCACTTGAAAAGTGTAAGGATCTTGGTAAACATCCTGTTTTCAAATGGATACTTTCCGTTACACGGGATCATGTCTCTCAAGTATGTGTTCTTTTCTCAATGTTATTCTAAATGATTTTATGATCTTTCACACACACACACACACGTATATGTATATATACCCGGAGTGTGTGTGTGTGCGTGTATCATGTGAGCTAGTAGAAGAATTGAGATGTGTTTGCACTTTGCAGCAGTTTCACTTTGGTGGTTTGTTTACTGATTTTCTTTAGAGAGGTTTTGTCTGATTTGAGAGCATTTTTGGGTATGTTTCCAAGTAACTAACAATACATGATGACATACTCCTTCCATCCATGTGTATTTCTGCAATATTCTTTGTGGGTCATTTTAGTGTGTTCGTCCACTCTTCGCTATTTATGGAAAATTAATAAAGCATATATTCTGATGGTTTTAGTTTATGAATGATGTGTGTATGTGTGTGTGTGCTATGATCTAATGATTTACAACCTTTTAATATAGTTTCATCTTTGTTACCATCATCTGTGATGAGACCAAAGATTCACCATTTTTTGGTTTTGTGGTATGAGGGAACAAAACAAAATAACTCATTAAATGGTCTTCACTTCTTTTACTGTAAGTTAGTCAAGCAACTTTCGAGGCTTATTATGGGTAGTTGGGAAATAACCTCTCTGTTGTAAACATAAGGGTCACGTTGCGTATACAACGAGCGCGAGAAGTCAAACTGGGATAACAGGGGAATTCCCCATCGGTGTAGGATTACACCGAGGGTCATTGTTAAGCCCATATGTTTTTACACTAGTATTGGACGTTCTTATCGAGCATATCCAAAAAATTGTACCATGGTGCATGCTTGTTGCTGACGACATCATCCTTATCAGCAAATCACGAGAGGGTTTGAATCGAGAGTTAGACCCATGGAGATAGGCTTTAGAGTTGCATGGCATGCATATAAGCCGCACTGAGTGCAAGTTCGGCAATAGAAGGAGAAACAGTAACATCGAGGTGAAAGGTGGAGAGAATACTATACCACAAGTAAAGAGATTTAAATATCTTGGGCGTATCATTCAAGACAATGGAGAAATAGAGGATGATGTTAATCACAGGATTCAAGCCGATTGGTCAAAATGGCGGAGTGCATCGGGCTTTATATGTGACATAAAAGTACCTTTAAAACTAAAGGGAAAATTTTACCGTACTGATATTAGACCAACTATATTGTATGGGACAGAGTGTTGGGCAGCAAAGAGAGAACATGAACACAAGGTTAGTGTGGCTGAAATGAAGATGCTTCGTGGGATGAGCGCCATATGCTTATGGATAGATTAAGGAATGAAGATATGAGAGCTAAAGTTGGAGTACACCTATTGTAGAAAAGTTGGTGGAAACTCGTCTTAAGTGGTTTGGACATGTGGAGAAAAGACCAATAGTGCATTTTGTGAGAAGGGTTGATATTATACATGATAGGGTGCAATGGCGTCATTTGATCCATGTAGCCGACCCCACCTAGTGTGATAAGGCTTTGTTGTTGTTGTTGTTGTTGTCGCGTTGCGTACACCCCCACCTCGCAATGGATGAGACCCTGTGAGGCGCTAGGGTAATGCTATTCTTATATCTTTGTATGATCTATAGTTTGACTCCCTAGTGCATAAACCATTTTTGTTATCTATGCTGAGTCCTCGTCCATTTTTAGATTGAGGTTTTTTGGCCTTTATTGTATGACATAGGGCCATAGGGGCTGGGAGGGTAAATATAATTAGAGCATAGTAAACACAGTAAAGTCTTTGTGTGTGTGTGTGTTCCTTTAACACCTAACATTCCACAGACCCTAAGAAAAAGAGTAGATAATAAAAGAGAAGCCCAAGTTTAAAAGAAAAAAGTGGAGGGGCCATCTGATAATGGTTTACCTGATTCATGTAGGTTGTAAGCACAACGACAGGTCAACCAGCTTCGTGGCTTAGACTTTTTATAAACCCAGCCACTTGCAAATCTTATGAACTGATGAGGAAATTCAGTGGACATAAACAAGCTGTAGCCGCTGTATCCTATACTTTTAAAAGGCGTTATCGTGGTGTTAATCGGAAACAAAAGCCTTTATGTTCATTTCTTGTGGTTGATACTTCGGGTTTATACATGGAAGAATTTGCAAGGTCATTATCTAAGATGATTTTTGATTCAAGTGATGCTCTGATCCGAATCAATATGTCTGAATGTGCAGGCAGTGCTTCAAGGTAAGTTTTAGTAACATACTGACTTTTGGTTTGCTGCCGAACTTTTCTAACAGAATCTTTTTTTTTGTTTATGTGGCAGTGGTAATGATATTGAAAAGCTTTTTGATGGCGTGAGAAGAAGACCGTGCGTTGTAATTATTTTTGAGAATATAGAGCGGGCAAACAGTTCTTCCATATCTATCTTGAAGCAAATTCTAAGAAGTGGTTATGCATCAGATGAGAGTGGAAATGAAATAAATTTTACGCAATCGATTATTTTTGTACTCTTACAGGGTCTCAAACCTTTTTATATGAAAGTTTGTACATGCATGTGCATACTTAAATCTAGTCCTTTCAAGGCATATTTGCGTGCAACCTCAAGTTCATCTAGTGATCAAGATAGATGCTGTTTTGCTGTTCTTAAAGAGGTTAGCAGAAATTTTATCAACTGGTTGTGTTCGTGAATCGTACTACTAAAAATGGGCTGATATACTTGTTTTATATTTGTGGCAGGCAAGGGATCATGTTGATACCGAAACATGGGAATTGGTGGATGATGTTGCTCTATTTGGTTCACAAATTCAATTCGCTTCTTGTTTCCTTATGTCTTACACAAGATGTATTTTGAGAGAAATGGCCAAAAACTTTTGTAGTGGACGTCTTATTATCTATCCATCTGAAGTTGCATTGGAGGTTTTTCGCCGTAGAGCTAAGAATATCGATGTATCTTCTGACCTACTCATTGTGCTTTAATATTTTTTTTTCGGAGTTCAATTTTATTGTTGTGCAAATGCATTTTAAAATTAGCCTGGCCTTTACCACAATACCTTTCAGATTTATGGGACATTGGTGGTTGTCTCTGGTAGCCTGAATCTGATGTTTAAATTTAAGGGATGGTGAATGAAGAAAAGGAATGGGAAAATCAACACACTAAAGAGTGCTAGCTATTGCAACACAAAAATGAACAATAATTGGGTAGCCTAGCTTGTCGGGAGTAGTGTTAGTGAGAGTCCATAGTTGCAATTCTTGTTTGGCCTGTTGTTGTACTTTTTTCTTCCATTGCTCTTGTTAATGTTTTGCCCTCTTTTTATTTCTGTAATTGTAATTTCTGGTTCGCCAAAGCATCAACGAGATTTGGGATATTTCCTATTAGCGAATGAAGTATTTTGCTTATCCTTCTTTTGATGTTTGTTAGGCTAAACTATGATAAATGCATGAATATCTCTAGAAATGTTAAATTCCGATTGCATGTATCCAATTGCTGAACTTAATTGACGTGATCCTGAAGGGTGAATCTTTGAGCATCTTTACGTGTCCATTCAGTTTTCTGCCACCCTGTTTTTGAACTTCTTGCTTATCATCATCATCATCATTTTTTTTATCGAAGGGAGAGAAGGCAGTTAAAAGTTGGGTGGATAATCATGTCAAGCCCATGCTAGAGGACTGGGTGAAAAAAGGAAAAATCAATGAAAATTCAGTAGTTCTTGTTGACAAGTTTGCAGGAAAAAATAAGCTTTCCTACATGATAGAGAACAGGGAAGATCATTGTAGAGGTCCACTTGCAAAGAAAATAAAGAACTTGGTTGTGGATATAAGATGTGTCTATGAGAGGGGGAAGTATCTGGAGCAATGCCTTGCATTTCTGTCAGAAAAGCTGCATTCTGCAATTGAAACAACAAGCTTCAAGGAAGCATGGGAGGAGTTGATTACATTGAGCACAAATGCATTAGCTGCCGCTGAAGATTTTAAGGCACTAAAGGTATGCCTCTTGGGGTGCAATCTGGATAAATAACAACTTAAGATTTTAAGCTAGCAATTACTTGTTCTACCATTTCATGAGTGCATATTGTTCGCAGGAGAAATTATGCATTTCTGTTTGTGAAACTGATAAAAATGCAGCCGGGGAGCTGAAGCCAGTGAAGGTACATATGATATCACTGGAGCTAGCCAACGGAACTCGCGGCCTTTATTTTATTGATGGTGTGGTTTTTGCAGGAAACTCTTGGCTTTCAAATTAGTGAAGACAATGATGGGGATAGTGGGAGCAAAAATATTAAAATCGGGCAGGACACTCTGTGTTCCGAAGGAGGAGGCAGTGTGGCACATACAGTTGTGGACCATGTCCTACAGGGGTTGGGCCAATGCTCTGCTGCATCCCTCCTCCTCCTGGGCCTACGCGATGAGGGCAAGAAGGAACTTGTAAATGAGCTTGCTGGGAAAAATAAGATATTTGCAATAGACATGTCCGAGTACAGTGATAAGGGCTCACTTTTTCGTTTCAAGAACCGTCCACTCAGGTAATGCCTAATACTAAACTCATGGGTCTTATGTGCACCAGTGCTTGTGGGTTTGTGAGGAGATTGGTGTCGTTAGTATTACATTAATCGTTGCAGGACCTTCAACAATGGCATTGAAAATTTGAGTCTTTTGGAGGCAACAAGGAAGCATCCACACAGCATTTTTTATTTCGATAAAGTTGAGGACGCCCACGTTGATGTGTATGGACTGCTAATGTTTGTGCTGCGATACGGTATTCTGAGTGATGACCAAGGGAATGACATTGATGCCAGGGGCTCTGTCTTCATTTTTGGTTCCAATTGTGGCAATATGAAAGCCATAGCCCAACTTGCGGCAGCAGGAGAGGAAAGCGAGGCTGGTTTGGCCTTTGGAGCTGAGTTTGAGAAGTGGTGGCAGGAAAAACAAGAAGAATCAGGACCAGGCGGTGGGTTGAGGCACGGCTTGGTATGCAAGGTGGACAAAGTGGTGGCTTTCAACCCCTTTGCCACTCAACAGCTGAAGAGCGCGGCGTGGGTTTGCCAGGGAGAAGAAATAAGGCGAGGTGCAGCCAGGTTTGATATCAAGGTATGGTATTCCACCTTCCAACAGATCTTCAAAAAGAGCAGTGGAGTAACTGAGGGGTCGCAAAACCCTCAAAAGACAGAGAAAGACGCTGCGTTCCATGAGATGATGGCTGGATGGTTGCCTTCTCTGCCAGACCCGTATGACGACTACCGTAAATATCAGCTCTACACATTCCCATTGGTGTAGTAACCCAACAAGTCTGCATTTGTCTGTTGTCTCCTGCTCTTAATGTAAGACTTTAATGGCTATGGGTTCGACTCCCATAGCCCCTATGTGGATTCGTAAACTCTAAATGATATTCGTCTACTTTCAGGAAATGTTTGGAAGAGAATAATACAACGTCGCATTCTTCCCGCCCTAGCCCCTAGCCACAACAAAGGGGATGAGCTTTATACGAAGCTTGCTAGCCTCTCGTTAGCTTCGCGTCTTTAACAAACTGTCAATACCTGCTACTTCCTCTTCGAGGTACGAAGTCCCTCTTCGAATGAGTTGAACATAGTGAAACGAAATGAGTTGAAGATTGTTGCTTGGATTCGTTTTCCGGGCCTGCACTATCGTTACTAGACCAAAGCCCTTCTTAGGTTCATTGCAGAGGTTTGGTGCATATCGATTACAATACGTCGGAGGGTCGGTTTGAGTTTCCGTGTCTGGGAATTGATGGTAGAGTTCAGCGTATTGAGTACGAGGGTCTCCTTGGTCATGATAAGGAAGAATGTATCAGTTGCCAAGGAACCTACGGCCTCTCCCCTCTTCGAGCGACTCCCGTTGGTCGTACATTGGTCGTACCTCTCCTTTTAGTCGAATGAGTTGAACATAGTATTCAATTAAATAAACATAAACATAAAAAATAAGTTCTTTCAATTTTATATTTTTCCACGGTCAAGGAAACAAAATAAATAAATAATAAGTAAATTTTTTTTATTGTACACCTAAGAATAAGATCATAACCTTTTCAGTTTTCTTCATACGACACAATTTTTTAATAAGAAAAATACGAGTGACACAATTTATAATTAAAACGTGTTTCGTTCCAATGAATAATAATAAGTTCAACTCGGAAGTATTTTGACGAAAATAACTTATGCACAAAAAATTATGAACAATTTTTTAAATAAAACTAAAAAACAAAAAAAGAAAAGAATTATATTTTGTGGCCGTGACCACATCTTGCTTCACGACATGCTCGCGCAGGACACTCACGAAGTGAGGGTGGTGAGACATTACACATAGTCTTAGAGGTAAAAAAAGAAAAGAATGATATTTTGTGGCTATGTCAAGACGGATCACAGAAGTGAGGGTGTTGAGACATTACACATAGTCTTAGAGGTAAAACCTCTTATTTTGTATTTTGGGTATTGAATTAAACATGTACTCCAGAGTAATTTGCTTGCAGATTATATGTTAAAGCCTCATGTACCGTTTTTTAGTACAACCGACAATTAAATCGAATAAAAGAGAGGCGTGTCGAAGATTAATGGAAGACCGGCAATCGACCGAATGGGAGGCCGACGCAATGCGAGGAGGCGGCCGCGATCGACAAATGAAGGTAGTGGCGGCTACAAGAAGGCGTCGATGGTTGAGATTTGGATTGTATTTTCCAATTTGAAGAGAATGAACGACACGTTATTCGTAAATGAATATTATAATTGTATTGAAAAAATGTGTGAAAATGAGTATTAAGTTATTTTAGATTGAGTATTAAAATATTTCAAAATGAATATTTATGTTTTGTATGAAAATTAATATATTACTTTACTTTAAAATGACTACTACACAATTGTACCTTATTTTTTATATATCGACAAATTCTAATTTGGTAGGAGTACAGTGCACATGTCAATGAGAGTCTTTGGACTCTCATACTCTATTACTTCAGTTTTTATTGTTTCAAACTCTCCAAATTTTACAAAAACGATTTCTTTATGAGATTCTTTTAAATTTTGTCTCATCATCATTGCATCATCGTTTATTGGCATTCCACAATTAGTATATGGTTAAATACGTTTTGGTCCCTATAAAATATGTGAGTTTTGTTTTTAGTCCCTGTAAAATATTTTTTGTTAAACCTAACTTACACAATTTTTAATTTTAAAAATGGTCCTTAGCAGTGGCGGATCCAGAAAAAAAATATGACTGGGGGCAAATACATACTAAAGAGTATGGCGGGATTCGGGAGTGGCACTCTCGATTTTTTTAAAGCATTTGATAATGATAAAAAATAAATAAATTCAATTTCATACAAGTATTCATATCAGAAAAATTATTTTTAAAGTAGAAAAATAAAATATAAAATATATCATAACATAATCCAATTATGATATTTAAAATATTTTACCTGTATATATTTTTAAGTGATTATTTTTTTACTTTTAAACTAAGATTTTTTTTTGTTAGTGGGGGCAAACTAAGTTTTTACCGAGGGCGTTCTTTGAATTCTCTCTAAAAAAATATTTTTTAATACTACACATTACGAAGTAAAAAATATGACTGGGTGCGACTGCCCCCGTATTCATACATATAGATCCTCCCCTGGTCCTTAGATATAATTCAAGTTTCTACTCACTCTGTCCTAGTGTGTTTGTCGAGTTTGACTTTTTTAAGTCAAATAAAGTGAACTTTGAACTTCAATTAAACAAAAGTTGTAATGTACATTTATGTAAAAATGTTTTTATCAGATATATCTAGTAGAGAACTTTCACAACCTTATTTAATTGTATTAATATGCAATACAAATTATGAATAATTGAACCTTAAAGTTTGTCTAGTCTGACTCAAAAAAGTCATAGTAGACAAATACGTTGGGACGGATAACATAATAAATTTATTCCAGACTCAACATCTTAATTTTGTATTTCTAATTAACTTAGACACAATTTTTATGACATAGATCGTCTTTTTCATTAAATTACATTCCAAATTTAAAATTTTATTATACTATATTCTTAAAAAATTTGATAATTGGAGATACATCATGGATAAAGATAAATTTAGGGTTGAGAATTATATTGGAGGTATTAGAAATGTAAGGTGAAGAATTATACATGGACCAAAAACAAAAATTACATATTTTACACGGACGAGAAACATATGTAACCCTTAATTGTACTACACGTTGATTTTACAAGCAAACTTATTCTTTAGAAATATTTGCACTAAATAGTACTAAAACTTAAATAATTTTTCTAAATAGTACTTAAATTATTTTAATCTCTAAATAGCACTTAATAATGTACATAATGATCAGTGATGACAAATATTTATTTGAATAATGAGTAATGGATAATTCTAATTCTACTGTTCGGTAGCACAAAAATATGTGGATTTAGAATTGGTAGCGCCAAAAATGAATTGGAACTGGAGAATTCAATTCCACCTAAATCAATTCTATAAAATTTCAAGTCCCAGTTGAATTCCAATTCTGTCAATTCACCTAAAGAAGGTTCCCTTGTAAAGCAAAAAAATAACTGAACTCCAAACTTCTGAATGTTCGATACTTCTAGTACGGAGTATTAGAAATTGACTCCTCAGCTCCTTCGTTCGATCCATTTCTCTCTTCTTCGTTCCAGGTATGGCTCCCCTCTTCTCTCTTCCCATTCGATTCTTCTCTCTTCTCTCGTCTCCTTTCTACTCTATGAATTTGTCATTGTTGATTTCTTCAGAAAGAATTCCTGGTCTCAATCCATCTGTTTGCATCGTCAACTGCTCGCAATTCATTTTTTTTTGATTTTTTTTCATCTTCAAATGCTAAATTGTGCTATTCCTTCATTTTTCGACCCTGTTTGGCTATCCTGCTCTCAATCCATTTTTTTCCTTCCTGCTCGCAAATTTTGGGATTGAAACTAGTTAATTACCAATTTAGATTACTACGTGTCCTTGATTATTTTTTTGCTGTATATTAGTCCATATATTTTGGGATTGAAAAAGTTAATTGCTATAAGAATTTTATTTCGATTATATGTTCTTTTCATTGCATAATCTTGAATTGTAGAATATTGGATTTTATATACATATAGGGTGGTGATGCTAAAAAATGCACATTTGATGCTATTATTTTGGATATTCATTTTCTGAATATTCATTTTCTGGAAATAAGCCCAATAAGAACAAACAGTTTTCTCCCTTTCAGCCAAACATCAGAAAAGGAAAATGACTTCAGTAAAATTAGTCATTTTCCAAAAGTCATTTCCCACAGGTTATTTACCCTTAATTGTAAAAGAAAATCAATTTAGGATTTTAAGCTTTTAATTTTAAGTAAAATATTTGAAGTACAATAATAATATGATACACTCAATCATTTTTATTCATCAAGTGATATTACTCTTTTTTTTTAGCTTTGATAAATGAAGGAGATGATCACCTTGTATTTTTGATAACCCCGAAAGATCTATTTTGTTCTGGCGTTCAAACTTTGAGAGATAGTGTGCAAATACTAGAAACTCATGGATACTTCTTTGAAGTCCCTCAATTCTTGCAGACATCTTAAAGAACAGTACGTTCCTCTCATCAACATTAAATAATATTTGTGTGTGTGTGTGTATTTTTGCATATGTATTTCATTCTGTAAAGAATTCTTAGATTTTGTAATGTTTCTAAATTCTATCAGGTTTGTGAGCAACCTCACTGGATCTTCTATGCTGGAATTGTTTTCTCTCATGACACTTCTCTTTGTAAGACACATATGGCTCATATCAATTTGTACATCATGTTGTTTTAGTGCAATTGTTTGATTTCCTACTAGGCCCTTGATCTTCTTATAAAGTCTCCCATTGCCAATCGAGCTATAAGAGTCATTTTTCACGATGTATTAGCTTCAAGTAAACAATGGATTAGATCAAAATGGCACATTGAACTTCACTTGCTTTTTCTTTCTATGCTGTTTTGGGAAGTAATTGCAGTGATGCATCATGGGTATAACATAAAACAGCCTCTCTGTTTATAGCAGGGGTAAGGTTATTCGTTATTATGTACATCTTGACCTCCGAGACCTCAACGTAGTTGGGATCAGTAGGTATTTTGTTATTGTCGTTGTTTCTCTTAATGTTCTTATGATGCTATTATGGATTTTGGATTACAGAGTGTGACACTCTTACAACATTATGTTGGATCCGATGCTCAAACAGGTATGAAGATTTCATTCAGACACTCCCTCCTTTCCTAAATACACTTAGGTAGTGTTTGGCAACTAGCCTTTCATTTCAATTCATGCATTTCAATTCCAAAATTTGAAATCTTGAATTTCAAATGACAAGGGGAGGTGCATGAATTTCAAATTGAGCTTTGTTATGAATAAGAAGAATTTGACTCAAATCCAAATTCAAATTTTTAAATTTCCCAAACATGGAATTTGAGCCAAATCCGGATTTGAAATCCAAATCCATATTCCCAAACATACCATTATTGTATTGACTTTTAAGGGATTTAAGGGGAGTGTATTTTGGTGTTCACTATCCAAAAATGCCCTTGGATGTGTTAGCGAATAGATATGATGTAATATGCGTAAGAATTAGTAGGGGTAAAAGTGACTTTTTAATAGAAAGTGGAAGAGTTTTGTGGGACGAATGAATAGTGAAAGAGGAAAGGTTTTTAGGGACGGAGGGAGTATGATTTTATCATTTGTGTGTCCATGTGCTAGGATGTTAGATGATACTATTGCTCAATTTGATCATTTGAAGGAAAAAGGAACCTAATTCTTTTCCTTGGCCTCAATCTTGAAGCTGTAACTCTGGTTATGTTTTTACTATGAATTGCTTTTAGTACCCAAACCTCTATAACTATTTCTGCATCAATTCGCAAAGAAGCTAAAAGAGTAATTTTTTACAGTGTTGGAATGTTTAATCTTCAGGTAAATAATGGACTAAATCAAAGTGGCATATTGAACTTCCTTTGCCTTTTCTTACTTCCTATGAAGTTTTGTGCAATAATTGTAGCCTTGCATCAAGGGTCTTATGAAACAGCGACTCTGTTTATTAAAAGTGTAATGGTTTTGTACATCTTGACCCCACATCTCTATAACCCTTTCTTCAAATGGAAGAACAATAACCCTTTCTAAATGTAATTTTTTATAGCTTGATGGTCTTTGTAATTAGTTATACTTAAAACGTGTTGTATAGTAGTTTACATAAATCAATAGAATAAAATTCTTTTGCTCAATTGCAGAGCCAACTATCTAAAAATTTCTAGCTCACTCTAGGTAAGATCAGGCAATATTTTGGCAATTATCCAGCTAAAACTATGGATAACATACTTTTGTGATCCATTTTTCATTTCTCAATATTCTTGACTATTAATTTTAACAAATTATTAATGAAAACATATAAGGAAAGGAGATATAATTTGACCACGTGAATAGTAACTCCAAAGTACTTTTGGAGGCTGATGGAGTATATATATTTTCTCCTTTAAATTTAACTTCAACCACACCTAATTTCATAATATTTGTGCCAATGTCACTTGGAATTTTCCAATGGGATGGATGGAGTAGTGTATCATCGATTAACACAATAAATCTTTCCCAATTCTTAAGAATATTGGCTATAAATATTAATAGGTCTGTTAATGTTATCACTTTGACATGAAATTGGGTGCTTTCATTTACTCGTCTTTCTCTCATTACACTGACTAATATGGAAGGCAATATTATTACACAAGCATTACGTAGCAATAAACTTTGGTCATCTATGACTTATTTTATAAATGCGTTTGGGCTGTAACTTAGCATGTTGGAGCTAAAACTTGACAATATATCGACTGCTGGTATATCATGAACTTTGTCAAAATGACACATTAAACATCCATTGATTCTTATTTTTTTAATGAAGTTTTGGGCAGTAAATGTGTCAATGGGTAATATTGCATACATTTGGACCCCAAAGGAGTTGGGATTAAATTATGTTTGTTGTCGTTGGCTAACTTGGCTTGAAAAGATGACCAGCTATTTTACCAAAGGCTATTCTAGCCGGCTACGCGTGTGTTCTACGAAAATTCCACTTAGGTTTATCTATGGGCAATACAATATATAATACTCTATTATGCATTTGCCCCTATTTTATATTTTTATTAGTCCAAATCTTTACACTAACCTCTACCCCTAGCGGTAGAGGTAAGGTTGTGTATATCTCATCTTTCTCATACCTAATAGTGAGTTTATCCATTGACATTGTAATATATAATACTCGCTAATTCATTTGCTCCTACTTGTTTTTTACTAGTTCGAGTCTTAACGAAAACTTCTCTACTCCTAGGTAAGGTTTGTGTGTATATCATCATTTCTATACCTACATGTGATTGGGAGATGATGGGTATGTGGTTTTGTTTGGTTTTGGACATGTTTGCGTGTGTGTGTGTGTGACTGTGTGTGCCGGTGTGTCTATGACAAGGGAAAAAGGGTTGGGGATAATCATGGGGGGTGGGATTACTCAATTTTTACAAAGTAATAGTTTTAACTTGCCCAAGCCTATCCATTGCCTTCTAAGCTATGTTGCATGCACTTTTGTGCAAACATATCAACAAGTATGAACTTTTGATAATGCTTTAGGCTTAGCATTATGTTATTTAGTAGCATTTCTGAAATGTTATCTTTTGTTACTGGGTAATAATTCTACAGATGCTTTTTCGAAGAAGCATGAAAAAGAAAATGGGATTGCCCGTACTAAGCACTTGGGGATTTACATTGTTGCAGTTGGTTTAGATTTCCTCTGCACAGTTGTTCCTTTCGTTTTATTTACAACTGTAAGCATTCTCACAGCTGTGAATAATCCTTTCTCCTTGCAAAAAGTTAAAAAAAGTAATGAAGAGATGATATCTTGCTGTGATTGTTTTTTAAATAGCAAAGTTTCTTTACATGTTTGAATGGAACACTTTGGTTATATATATATATATATATATAGACACACACACAGATATATATATGTATGTATGTATGCATGCATGCATGCATGTGTGTGTGTGTGTGTATTATATGGTGCGGTTCAAGTGAAAACAAGCCTTACCATGAGAATGGTGCATTTTAAGGCCACCGCAATGCATTTTGTACTTGTAGTAGTGCATTTTGGGGCCAACGCAATTTTTTTCTTCAGATTTTTTATTTTTAATAGCCCTTACATCTTAAATCTAATGGATTCGATGCATTCTCATTTTTTTCACTGTGCATCATTCTCATTTGAACTAAATTATATATATATATATATATATATATATATATATATATATATATATATATATATATATATATAGACACACACACACGTTTATCTATATATATATATATGTATGTATGTATGTATGTATATGGATTACTATTTCTTGTACTACTAACAAAGTAACTAGGTGATTGGCGAGAATAGTTTTCTCACGCAGGTTCTATCAGATTGGACTTCAATAAATACATCTATGGTTGCCTTATTGTTGCTTTTATGTATTTTGTCTCGAAGGTAACTAATAGTTTTCTATTTCTGTTTTATTGACTTTATTTTTCCTATGGTTAAGAAAATTAGTAAATANAAATTGTGAACACATTTTTAGATGTGCTGTTAATTTTAAATTAGTTTCTTCTTGAATACAGTTTTGGATCTTTTCCGGATGATGGGCTTCAATCTCTTAGACAAAATATATCAGCTTACAGAGTATTCATGGTAGACACATATCCTTATGATGTTGAAGAGATTTTATATTCTCCTGAGGCCTCATTAATGATAGTTGCTGCAGATGCTTATTACATGCTTGTGTATTCTGGCTGTTGACTTCAGAATATTTCCTAGAAGATTTGCCAAAACAGAGACTTATGGAACTAGCTTGGTAAGATAATTCAACCTGTTGTAAATTTGTAATATCATGTGCTTATATAACTTGCTAACTTATCATGATCAGCTCAGTATAACTGTGTTTGTGGCTTGACACAAACACATGCTTGCACTTCCACTCATCTACTTGCATTGTTTTTTGGATTTTTTTGGGGCGGGGCGGGGAGGTCCTTATTGAGGTAATTTATTTTTTCAGACTGAAACAATGCCTCAATATGTTTTAAAACTAGGACGATACCTGTGTAGCCTTTCTCTAATTAACTTGTTCTAAAAAAATATACCTTCAGTTTACCTTATGTACATTTGTGTTTGTCATTCTTCCCTGAATTTTGTTATACCTGTTTTTTTTCTATGGTAGAACTTTTAATTCCTTTTGTTTGCCACTCTTGAAATGTTTCTTGAAGGCAGTGGCTGTAGACAATCATGAATTGGAAATTACCACAGTCAGATTTATGACCTAATTATTTGTAATAAACTTTCTTAGAAGTAAACAAGATCTAATGCTTTTCTCTGTATAATCGTATATTTTGCCAGATGGATATTGGTGTAGGCTCATTTGTATTAGCAAATTCATTGGTTTCACGACATGCACGTGGCATCTCAATAGTGTGAGCAATAATGTCTCTGATTGATAATCACAAATTTTATGTATACAGTCTATAGAAAGTCATATGGTTGTTCTTTGATGCTAATATATTCTTTTAAAAATATTCCCAGGAATCTAACTAGTTCTTTGCGTTCAAGTACACCACTTATATTTCTAGGCCTTGTCCGACTAATTTCTACGTCAAGTGTAGATTATCAGGTAAATAAATCTGATGGTCTTCATATACATAGCTTGAAATTTTGTATTCGTGCCTTCAAGGGATGTAGATGGGGATGTTGTACTGCACATATAGAAGGGCTTGAGATGATGTTAGGATACTGATTTTTGAGAAATTGAAACTTGCTGGTTTTTATGTGTTAGGGGTAAACCAGCGGTCTTATCAAGTTGCTATTTTGATGGGGAATTTGTAAGGGAGATGAATGGGAAGTATTGGTGGCAGAAATGGTGATGGAAGAGAATGGGAAATATGGTTGTTGTTTTGGGCTTAGAATTGAGAAGAAAATGGAAGGTTATAAGTTGGAAGAAGGGCGGGAAATGGTGGTGAAGGGTAAGAGTTCTTTTGGTGTTTTTAACTTAAAGGATAGAAAAGAATGAGATTAAGGAGAGAAATGGCGAGGCACAAAAATGGGAAGAGAATCAGGGATGGGATAAACCAAGTCGGGGTTAAGAGATATAACACACTCTTATCTTAACTTGGGGTTGAATCTAGAATTTAATTAAGATATGACACACTTAATTAAATAACTAGAACCTAAAACTCACACTTAAGAGAACCACTCTTAAGATATAGAATAAGGAATTTGGCTAAAATAGTATCACACTATTTTAAGAGAATACTTAAAAGAGTAAACAAAGTTCTGATTAAAAAAATATGCTGCTTACAAATGGCTCTTTGGCTGAAATAAATAAGGGGGAAAAGGGGGAAATACATTGCATATGTAAGAAGAAAACAGACTAGGAAACTTCCTATACTCCTTCCTCTTTTGCTAGCTTCCAAAGTGAATTGATGTGGCCTGATTTGTGTAGCTTTTGGCTTGAACATGGGCTCTTTTGGTGATGGGAATTTGTCCATAAGGGGAGGGGGGGCATGAGGAAGGTGTGTTCTTTGTCCAGATTTGCAAAGCTAGGTAAAAGAACACATCAAGGGTTTGTTTGGTTATTCTTTGGCCTTATAATGGATATGAGAGGCGCTTTGCATCATTTTGGGGGGGGGGGGGTGAATTCGGCCTAGGGCCATTGGGTGGTATCATAGGATTCATAGCATGAGAATGGCATCGGTTCCTGTTCCAACTTTGCCATTGAAGTATCTGAACGGATAATCCGTGGGACATTAGGTGTAGTAGGGGGGTCTATTCCAGATAGGGATGTGTGGTTTGTATAATTTGTTATGTTTATCTATGCATAATAGTAAATACACTTCCATCCTAGTCAAGTCAGTATTTATCAAATCTGTTTGATTTGTTGAATAATACGGAGTATACACTTTGATTTGGTGAATAATACTGTTAAGTGAGTGTATATGCTTTTCCTTTTTGAGATTTTTGGGTCATGATATTTTATCCTTGAGTATTTGCCTCCTATAATAAAGATGCTGTATTTGAAATAGCTTAAAGTGATGGTGAATACATCATTCCTCATAAATCTGTGTTTCATAATTCGACTCCATAGCTGTAGCCTTTTTAGCTAATTTATGTTTAGTAGCCGCTTTTTTACATTATCACTGATTAAGAGCATATCTAGGATGACTTATGCAGTTGGTTATGCTATAATTTCTTTTATAAGGAAGTGCTTTCTCTAGTAAGCACCAAAACTTTTTTTCTTTCTTAAATAAGAAAAAAAAAGTTATTTTTTATTTTTACCATTGAAAGTATTTTTTTCAACTTCTTGTCAAAGTCTTATTTTTGAAGTAAAATTACTTTTCATCCTATTAAAGGAGTACTTTCTCTTTAAATACTAGCTAATGGTAAAGAAAATGTTCGCTTGTAATATCTTATGATCAGAATCTTGGTCTTCCTTTTAGGTTCATGTAGGGGAGTATGGAGTGCATTGGAATTTCTTTTTCACTCTCGCTAGTGTGACAATCCTAACATCGAGTGTTAATGTTTCTCCAAATTACTGTGGAATTCTCGGTTTACTCATTCTCCTAGGTACACATTAAAATTTCTTTTTATTTTATGTTCAATGCATGATCATGAATTTGATGACTAATGCAATTTTATACTTTTTAAGGGTACCAAGTTTGCTTGTTACTTGGGCTTAATGAGTATCTGCTTTCGGATAAAAGAGGAGCAAATTTAATTAGCCAAAACAAAGAAGGAATTTTCAGCATTTTTGGCAAGTATATATATCTTTGCAATTTAAACACTAATTTCATCCTCACATATATGCCTACACGTGCCTTCTCTCTCTCCCCACTTCCATTTCATGTGGGTGTATATGGATATTAATTAATACGGAGTAAATGGTGGCTTTGCTCTTGATAGAGTTCTTGTGACATAAGTTTGATCAGATTCATTAATTATGTGTTGGTGATTAGCTCAAAGTTTTATTCTCCTTTTCTGTCCTAGGTTATTGGAGTTTATACCTTATTGGTGTCCAATTAGGACATTTTCTTTTCTTCGGGAAGGATTATAATGTTACATCGAGAACCAATAAATTGGCAACAATAAGAGTTTGTGTTCTATCTCTATCACTTTGGTGCGATTCAATTTCTCAAGCACTCTTCCATTAAAAATTGCATACGAGTTATTATTATTATTATTATTATATTTATTATTATTATTATTATTATTATTATTATTGATTGTTTGTTTGATAATGTTCTTGGTCTTTTATGTTGCTTTGTTGGCACTTTGTCCATGTAGGTTGTTTACATATATCGTGGACACACATGTTGAAAGGGTTTCACGTAGAACGGTCAGTTGCTTATCTTCTACTCTCCCTCACTCCCTCTCTCTCTCTCATATGTGTGTGCGCGCACATCCACATGTTTTTTTTGGGGAGGGGGTATATATACCAATCTTTTCATTACTAACACAACACTTTATGTGCAGTGTAACCTTGCATATGTTTGTTTCGTATTGGCTCTAAATCTACAGGTATGCATTTTAAGTTTGCTTTGTAGGATTTATGCCAATGAATAAAATGAAATTCTCCTCATTCATCTCTTATTTCTTTCCTTTGACTTTTTTTTGAATGATTTGACATTGTTACCCCCACTTAAGGGTTAATTTTTGAAAGTTGTGTTTCAGAAACATATATTCTTTTTATTTTGTACGATATAATTTTTAGAAATAATCAAACGATCAAATATATTATATTACTCCGTAGTATTTTCACTTAATTTGTTGGTTCAACTAAATTTAACATGATCAACTTTGTTTTAATGATTATACCATGCCCAAAAAAGAGCCTTATAATTTATTGCATGACAGCAAATAAATCATTAAACGGTTCCTCTGTTTTTTATAGGCTTTGGGGATAGTTATGCTTTCTGGTTTTGTCTTTCGACGCAAAATATCTGCCTTGGAGGAAGCTTTTGATCAAAACCTCCTTGCAACCTTTCTTCTGGTAACAAAATCTAGATCAACTTTTATGCATAGTTATCAAGGCGTCGCCTAGGCCTCCAGGCGCCCTTCTACTCTCGCCTTGGGAGCTCGCCTCACCTTGTTTTTCATGTCTCGCCTAGGCGTCGCCTTCGCTTCGCCTTTCCTCGCCTAGGCGTCGCCTTATCCTTGCATTGGCTCGCCTAGTCCAGTACTTTTGTTTTTCTAGTCCAATAATTCATTTTTTCAAGTGTTTTATACAACCGACTATAGTTCTTTGTTTTTTAATGCTTTATAAATTAGTTTATTTGCAAGTTAATGTTTTTTTCTACTTTGTCTTCCCAACTATTACTTGCTGCTTAATTTTTAAAATTTTAAATGATTAATTTATTACCAACTTCAGTCGGTAACTCTTTTTTTCAACTTTGTTTGTTAAGAAAGCACTTAAAAGTAACTTTGGTAGTTAAACTTTGATGTATTAGAAAAATATAAACTTTACCAACTATAATATATAATTTGATATATTTATATTAGTGTTTTTAATGTATAGCAATTCTCCTATATTATGTTGTCGCCGAGGCGTCCTGGCGGTACTCCAGTGCCGCGCCCTGACTTGGCGCCGTGATAACTATGCTTTTATGTCATTACATACTCTCTCCATCCGAAAAACATTCCCCATAAGAACCAACACAGTTATGAAAGAAAGTAACATTGCATGGTTGAAGTTTATACAGAAAGAGAAATCATAGTCTTTCCGTCTTATATCTTTCTTTCCATTTCACTTTAGTTGGTCAAATTTTATGAACTTTGACGATGAAATGCCAAAACTTTACATTGAATTATCAATGGATTCATTTAGAAATGTAGTTCTAAAGTATCATATTTTTATAGAATATATCTATCAGTAAATATAAATATTACTGATCAAAGTGTTGCACTGAAGACCGCAAAAAGTCAAATTAGAAGAAAAGTATTAGACGGGGGGAGCATGAACCACATAATTGTTTCACCGTTTTCTGGGTGAGTGCCGGATTTTAGGAGTGTAACCGATGCCGTAAGTTCATATTGAGATTTTAGACTTTTATGTGCAGGCAAACATGCTCACAGGGCTTGTGAATCTATCTATTGACACACTGTCTGTGTCTTCAATCTCAGCACTTGCCATCTTACTAGCCTATGGGTTTGTGTTATCTCTAACAGTTGGTATTGCCAACTTTTATGGCTTCAAGTTCAAGTTCTGGTAGTGAAGCTTGTGCAACTTCAAGGTCAGAATTGATCTTACCTTGTAGTAATTTTTAAAAGAAAAAATGTTGAAGTCTTTCCTTAATCTAATTCCACTTTTTGTCCATACAGATTGAACAATAACAGTGTTTCCATATAAAATATTATTTCAATTGTTTATGTTTGCCTTCGAATTACTTTGAGGCTCCGTCTGGTACACGGAATTCAAACTATGGAATTGGAATTGGGGACAACAATTTCAATTTTGCTGTTTGGTAGCACAAGAATGTGGATTTAGAATTGGTAGTGCCAGATATGTATTGAAATTGGAGGATTCAATTCCCTCCAAATCAATTCCATAGAATTTTAACTCCTAATTTAATTTCAATTACATCAATTCTGTGTATCAAACAGACCCTGAAGTTTTGTCCTTTTCACTTCACTTTCTTTACCGTATTTATGCAGATCATAAGAGAATGTATCTAGTTTCCAACCTCACTAGAAAACTCTATAATTTTGAGGGGATCACGAAGTACTATGAGTATGAGTACGTGCAAAAAATCACAGTTTAATAGCATAAGTGCATAACATCAAATAGCACTGCTTACATTTTTATCCCGCAAAAAAAAATCACAATTTACAGCGCGAACCACAATCAAATGGCCTGTATATTATTTAAATGGTCAAATTATATTTACTTTTTTTATACCTATTTTTGTTAGTGATATGATAAAATGATACATGTCATTTCTTGTCATGTAGACTTTTTAGTGTAGTTTTTTAAAATGTAAATTTTTTCTTTCATCTACTTCTAAAATGCAATTGAGAAAAATAAAAGAACCCCTCACCCCTTTTATCTCTCCACTTTTTCTTTCATCTACTTTTTCCAAGTCATACATGTCAAAAAATAGGGGTGAGGGTATCGAATTGATCTCAAAATTTCTCGAAAAGATCAAGATTATCAACCGGAAAATACCGAGTCGTTAAAATATCGAAAAAGAATCATACTGTATCAAACCAAATGACCGGTCCGATATTTGGGATTGGTACGAGGTAACTTCTCATACCAAAATTTCTTATGTTACAAATAATCTTTTATTTAAATATTTATTTATTTTAATTTTTTGTATATGAATATACTCCGCAAAAAAATATACAAACATTTAAAATGCTATTTTGTTATTATTCATTTTCTTTTTTTGTGTGAAATACTAAATTAAATAGGTTTTATAAGTATTTCTTGCATTTTATTATTCATTTTTAAATTTTTTATCATTCTTCATTTGAATGTACTTTCGTTTTTTTAATAGAGTTTTGAACATTTCAAAGTGTTGGGATCGGTATGATGTAAAATTCCGTATCGAACCAAAATATTTAGTACGATATAGATATGAATCAAATACTGTACCATGCCGTACCAAGTTCACCCCTATCAAACAATGATATGGTACATAAAAACGTTGCAGGCATAATGTTTTCCTCTCTATGCGTGATAAATAAAGTTCCTCTCATGTAAAACAGGGAAAACTCACTACTAGTAATGAAAAAAAGTCACACATCTAATATTTCCTCTAATTGCAGTACTGATAGGAACATGTTTTAATCCTAATTAGGTGTTTTTTTATTTCAAAAGTCAATAAAACTTCTGAGACATGTTTTAGTCCTAATTAGATACTCCTCTCATCTCACTCTTTTTGTCCACTTACCTTTTGTCACACCATCTAATGCACTTCTTTAATCCATTTTATCTTATAATTTGTATATTAAAAAATTATAGAAATTATATATTAATAATCTACGGAGTATATGTTAAGACAAATCAAACAAGATCACACATGACTATATTTAGGCTTACACATTGAGAGAATTTGATGAGTCAAAGTGTTTAGATGAACAGTTCCAAAAGTCAAAAGTGGACAAAGAGAGTGGAACGGAGTTAGTATTTTTTACTTAATAGTCAAAAAACTTTACGACAGGGGCAAAAAATAAAGATCCTTGGATAGTTCAGGACTCCAGTACTGCCTCTGCTCCTTAATGTATTTTTGTTTTTTTTCCCTTCTGTCAAATGGCCTCTATAGTTAAACTCTATTGTTTTCTTCAAAAAATTAATCAAAGCATTCAACAGTTCACAAGTGTAAAATGACTAACAATATTTTTTTTTACTTCTAAAGGGTACCAAATTTGCTTTGTTACTATATTAGTGTACTTCCAATGCTAAAAGCCTCCTCACATTCAAAACCACTCATATATATATTATGTTCTTGGGGGATTAAGTTTTTGAATTAAAGCCTGCTCCACTTCTCCCCGAAGACTTTCCATGTCCCTCGCATACTCTCTATGGTTTTCGTCCACTGATAGTTGCTGCAACCGCAGTCTCATATGCTCAAGCGCCACATCCAACTTGCAGAAGTCTTTGAAAACCAGAGCTTCTGTTGATCTCAGCAGTAACAGATTTCTTATTGCGTGGAGAGCCTGTAATAGTAATGACAAACATACATATCTTAGTCCCTGTTGATTGAGATTCTTGGTTTGAAGAGGTTTAGAAGATTTGTTCTACTTGTTTTTTGTTTTTAGTTTTGGGTAATTGAGATTCTTGATTTAGAGAGGTTTAGAAGATTTGTTCTACGTGTTTTTCATTTTTAGTTTCGGGTTCCTATCAGTGAGTTGGAGGACTGTGGAATACTTGTAGAGTGTCACCTAAATAAAGACAACCAATTGACACTAACGTTCACGCCACCAATCCCATCTATGATTAAGGAGATGGCTTGATGGGTTACGATGAACACCGACATCATAAACCAAGAAAATATATTACCTTCTCTTGGAGATCAAGGTCACTTGAAGCTACTAAATCAACCAAGGACTTCAAGAAGTAACGATTGCTGAAAAGAGGAAGCTCTTCTTTATTTTCACTTCCATGTTGACATTCAGCCAAGTCGGCTACAAGGGCGACTGATTTCCTGTGCAGCCTTATGTCTAAACTTGAATTCTTGAGAATATCCTGCATAAATTATTTTTAAAAATAGATTACAGCTACCAGCTTATAAGCTAGTACTCCTTCCCTCGCAAAAAAAGGTCATGTATACTAAAGGTTCAACTTTATAATTTTATTAAAGTACAACTCTTAAAATTCATGGAATCCTTCTAACATTTTCTTTTAAATATTTTTTAGCTAATTTATTTATTGAATTTGTTAGAAATTTTTGTTGCCTTGTTGGATGAAAACTAGGTTTGTTTTTAATGAAATTACGTTTTTTTCGCAGACAGAATTTTGTCGGAACATGACTCTTTTTGGCAATTTTGAGGGTGGAAGGAGTACATCATTGTTGAACTCACTTTTCACATTGCATTACCAGAAGCATGGCTTCACCAGCTTCCTTATAGAATAGCTCTTGGCCATATAAATTATTTCTAACCAACGCCGAAATAGCATAGAGTGCTTTTGTAGCTTCCTCAATGGAACGCATCTTCACCATCTTTACCAAGATTTCCAGGGCCCCAAGTTCAAGCACCTGTGTAAACAATTTATTCATGAAAAAGAATCATATTATCATTTCAAGCAAAAAAGCAGGCAGATGAGAAAAGTTATAGGACAATCCTTGCATGAAAGCATTGAGAAACTCAAACATATGGAACGTGACTGTCCCCTACAGCTACCTGCTTCTGAGTGTTAAGGTTATTCTGACTGGCCTTGCCAAGAATCTCGGCTGCAAGAGTCCTTATTACTGATTCTGAGTGATGAAGTTCTCCCATTATCACATTAAGGCCTCCAAGATTTTGTAGGTCTGAAACATTTCTTCCACATTTAGTAAAAGGTAGTTAGATGGGTACATTGATGTGCGATAAATGTGGTGCCATTTTAGAGCGTGTCAAAGTTTAGTTTTAGAAAGTTTAATAATGAAATGTGCACTATTGCATGCATAGTAAAGCACTTATTGACATGTAAAGTGTGCACAAATGTGAGAAGCGAAATCTCCATTGGCAAAAAAGGGTGGTGTGGTGACTGGCAGTTTCATACCCGAGTAAATACATATAGAGTACTATAAGATATTATGTGCATCACACAAGGATAGAAGGGCAATGAGCGAACAACAATATGGTACGATTGAAGTTCTACATGCTTGCGACCACGTCTTTAATGAAAAATTAATCTAATCCATCCATTTTGAACTGGCTGTATCAATAAATTTCCAGAGTGACGAGGGGGCTTACTTTATTCTCAATTTTCACCTAAGCATCCATCTACAATCTACACAAACATGCATGCATCATACCTACTTCCAATCTTTAGATCAGTTGAGTAAATTGACCAGATTGCGATCTAAAGGCTTGGAACAATAGAGCATCAATGTACTTTTTACCCATCTTTGTCCCTCTCCACTATTTTAGTCTAGTAGCATACCATATTTAATAATATTTGTGTGGCTAAGATTAATTTTCCTTTTTTCTAATTCAATATCAACCATACAATTTCACTCTCCTAAATTTGCATCCCACCTTACCATGTACCAAAATTGCTCAGAGGGGAAGGAATGCATTCATTTTTTCTATTTTAATTTAGTAATTATGCTTTTTTTTCTATTTAACTTTGTTGTGCCCTTGCTCTTATTTTATATTCATTTTTTAACTTTTAGCAAATAAAAAACAAGAAAAAAGAGAAAACGGGCACAATTTTTGTGGGCCAATATTATTGTCATAGACTGATAAAATAGTAGCTAGCTGCATAGATATCAAAAACAGAGGTTTCTCAATACAATAATATACGTAGTATGTAGTAATTAATAAAATATATCAGCCTAAAATAAACTCATTTCAATCATGACTAATTTATGATTTATCACGACTATAACAATATTACTGTATTAAATGAAGTGTTCTTAAAATCGTGCATGTTTTCACATTTTGTTTTGCTTTCTTTGCTATTATCGAAAAATTGCTTTAAAAGAGAAATAATTCATAAATAAACAATAGAAATGGGAAAAAGCGCAATGAAATATTTACTTAATTGCCAGTTTCTTATACCTGAGACTTTTTTAACGAATGTTTTACAAATTTTTCTTAAAAGAGTGTGAGGATAAATAGGTGAAAAGAATTTGGATACCTTGAACAAGTAGTTTAAGCCTTTAGGTGGTCATTTGAAGGAAAATAAGTATGTGCCGTGATGTATTCTAAAAAAAGGTATATCAGATTATAACGTGGTATCTCAAAACTGATAAATTGAAAAGGTTATTTTGTACAATTTTTTTCTTTTTTACTACTACAAGCACATAAGTTTCATACTTGAGGTGCAATACCAATAAACATAAAGTGTATATGATTTTTTTAAAGAATCAACTTTGTATAAAAACCTTAGCCTTAGATCTTAAAAATGAACATTTTAGACATGTTGACCTCTTGACATAGGGTTTTATAATGGTCAACTACATTTTAGAGGGTAAAATTGGAAAGTTGATCACATCTTGATTGTTTCTTTAATATGCATGCTTAAAACAAATGTGGAATTTAAATTGGGACGTATGGCTCATTAAGGAAACCACCAATCAAATGAGTGAAGTGTGCCTCAATTTGTGAGTCAGTAAAACATGACTACTAGCAAACCATCAAGTAACAAAAAAACTAATGTTTATGAAGATAAGCTAATGGAAATGTACCATTTGCATTATGTACTGGCTCAACAAGTTCCAACAGCTCATTCAAAGCACGAATTCTATCCTCCAAAGACACCGATGAATTTTTCAAGTCATCTAATGCAATCTGCATTAACTTTGCATCTGATGGCATTTTATTCTTCTCCATGAATTCCTGTCATCCATACAAATAAAAGGTTGAGGGTGATGGTAAGACAGAAGATGGGAGCAGAACTGAGGTATGATGATGGCAATTTATTCTTCTCCGTGAATCCCAACCATATCATCCTTCTTTTATTTAAGTAAACATTTTGTAAACATCTACCAGATGAAAAATTCACTTGCTGAAACGAGAAAAAGGGAAACACTTGGAAATATGTGGAAAGCTTGGAAGGCTAATGGATATAACCAATCATCTATGTGATGTCAACTCAGAATTTAGACAATTTACTATGCATATTCTTTGAATTTACATTTGGGGGATTTGTGGATACTCAACAATTTAATGGTTTTAAAAATGAAGTAGAAGAAACTTCTTCCACAGTTTTGAAAAAAAACGTGTGCGAGGTTCAGCACTGGCCATTTTATCTAACCTGTAATTCTATTTGGCGGGCCGTTAGCTCTTCAGGAGATAATTTTTGAACATCTTGAGCTGCTTCTTTCAATTTTGCAGGATCAGAATGGCCTGGAAGACATTCCCCCAATATATTATGCTATTAGCAAAAGCATATATAGTAGCAAATTTAAAATAAACAAAGCTATGCTAGAGTTAACAGTAAATACAAGACATCACTGCAAGTACTCTATACCGATAGCAGCAAAGAATATGCTAAAAGTTACTCCCTCCGTCCCTAAATATTTGCCACATTTGTATTCCCGAGATAAAATATCAAGTTTTTTCAATTCATTTTATTTACATATTGGTATAGAAATAAAAAATAAAATTTACATATCAACAAACTACATGAAAAGTTCTTCGAAATAAGAGGTGTCAAGAATATTTTATTTTATCAAATAACCAATGAAAATGTAGAAGTAAACAAAAGTTCCCGCAACTGCTGAAAAAGCAAATGTTGTGAATATTTTGGGACGGAGGTAGTATGAAGACAATGAAGTAATACTTTGATAGATTATTAACCAAAGACAGTAACAATAGGAACATGAAAAGTATACAGAGATTGGCAGAAGAACAGATGGATCAGGAGGTTGGGATAAAAGATAATAGTGAGAATGTGAGCTGGTGTCATTATTGATTAAGTTTTTTAAAGAGGGTTAGCAAAAGCTCTAGTTGAAAAATCATGATCGGACGTTTGCATAAGGAGGCAAATGTTCGCGCAAAGAGAATCTTGAGGTTTAGGGCCAATTTGGACATTTATCCGTATGTCTGAATCATTTAACATTTGGACCACGTTCACGAAAATCTGAAGGATTTTCATAAAGCAATGATATTCGAAATAAAAAAATTTCAGCTACCGAGGGTTGCCGCACCCAAACCCCGCTAAGAATTTGTAATATCACTGAACAAGGGTGCATTTCGCACCTCCTAACTCGTTTGACAACATCTATTCAAATTCATGTTTGATCTAAGTAAACCCATCCAAATAAAATAGCTTATCATATTAAAATCATCAACAAAATGAATGCAATAATGATAATTGACCGGAGTCCTGTAAGGGAGGGGTTCCTCGTGGAATGTAAATGATCCCTTTGGGGATAATGCACTTAAAATAGCCCAATTTTCAGAGTGTTTAAGGGTCCATTTGGTATACGGAATTGACGGAATTGGAATTGAATTGGAATTGAAATTCCATGGGACTCAATTCAATAGAATTGAATTCTGCCCATTTCAATTCATTTTTTGCACTATTAATTCCAAATCCACATAATTTTTGTGCTACCAAACACCAGAATTGAAATTGAAGTCCTCAATTCCAATTCCATACTTTGAATTCCATGTACCAAACAGGGCCTAAGTGAATTTTCCTGAATATCGTCTATGTTAATACAGGTAGTTCAATCAACTAGCATCCAAGCATCAGAAAATAGCAAAATCGTGCAACAACAAAAAAAAACCTTGAAAAAAATCGGAGCAAGAAAAGAAAATAGATTCAGGAAGAGAATGCAGAAGTAGAAGAAGAGCAACAAACCTATCGCCCACTGCAACATTCCCTCCAAGTCAGAAAATCCGCCGAAGAACTCCTCCTCGGCCGTGGGGATAAGATCCCCCTCCTCCGCGCCGGGCCAGAGAACGCCGTGCGCCTCTCCCGTTGACCGGTTATGACCGTCGGATTTCGCCGTGTAAGTTGCAGTTGCGGGCATCACCGCCGGTACTGCTGCCAGAAGAATTATCAAAAGGAACCGCAACGCCGCCATTGCGAGTGGTCCGGCCCGGAGATTGATGCTCTGCTCTGATCCCTGAGTTGAGAAGGAGAAACAACCGGAGGATTATAAGCGCCGCGTTAAAAACCCACCGGTACATCGATGCCACGACACTGCCCAATAAGCCAATGCCATGTCACTGAAAACCGTATGCATTGGTAAATTCACATGTGTAAATGTGTATATTCTACTCCGTCCTAACAAAATTTCATTTGGAAGGAGATTAAAAATTTTTTAAAAAAGTAAAGACTTTTCACTTTAATGTGATATAATAAAGTGAATATTGTAAATAAAAAATGAGGGTATAATGACGTATTCATCAAAAGTTTTGTACCATATTCAGAAAATATGAAAGAAATTTTCAAACGGCCCAGAAAGGAAAGTGAGAACGAAATTCATAAATGAAAGAAGTCCATGTTTTTCAATATCATTCATTTATTATCAAATGTTACATCTATGGTTTTTCTTTTATGAGTAATTTCCTACAAACTGTCGTTTTTTTCTATCATATTAGTGTTGAACTTGAACTCAAGGTTGAAAGTGTAATTTTACATTGACAATTATGTCTAGTGACGTATTCTCATGTCTGCTTGACGGATAATACAATAATAATGATCATGACTGTGGACTAAGATTTTGACTAAAGACGACATTTGTAGATTATGGTTGCAGTAGACAAGTACTCCATTTGTTTTCAAAACTTATTTAAAAATCATTTTAAAAGGTTGCATACGCACCACATTGTTTTGTACTATTTTCCGTTCATTTTTCATTAAAAAGGGGCCATTGATATGCATTCCAATCAACATGAGCTGATGAGCATGAATGCATATTGGCCGTGTTTCAAAAATAGCTTTTCGGATAGCTTTTTGCATCTTTAACTGACTTTGGCTTGTTTGACTTATCGAACCGCCAAAATTATTATTTGGCTAATGGCTTTTTCACTTGGCTTTTTGATCCAAAATCCGAAAAGCCAAGGAGAGTAGCTTTTGAACTTGGCTCTTAGAAAAATTATTTTTTTAATCATTTTTCTTGAAAAATATTTTATAATATATGAAAAAAATAAAAAATAAAAGTTAAAATATTCAAAAATTAAAAAAATAATTTTAAATTTTAAATTTTCAAAAAAAATTATGAGAAAATCAAAAGAAAAAATAATTAAAAAGTTATATTTTAATATTTTTTTATGAATTATATGAAAATGAAATTTTATACTCCACATATTAACGATTTAATTTTTACATGTACAAAAATAAAAAAAAAAATATCGTGTGTGTGTCTATGTACAAAAAAAACACACACACAAGTATTTAGAACAGCTGATACAAACAGTCAACAACCAGCAGCTGACTCCCAACATTCAAACAAGGCCATTATCAATTTTTTATATAATTGTTATTTATAATGTTTTAAAATTTAAATTGGTTTGTATTTGAAATAAAAAATTGAAACTAAAAAAAGCATATACTTTTTCATTCTAAAGTTAAACATTTCTGTTTTTATAAATTTGGATGAAAAGTACTATTGTTTATTCGTTGTCTTTGCAATTATATGTAAAAAAAATATTAATTTCGTATAGTAATACACACAGGTTCTACATCTACTCACTTTAAGTGGTTCCAGCTGACACTAGCTTCAATAGAAGTATCTACGATGCACCGTTTACAAAATTAATGGTTCCTACCCTCGACGCCTCGGTTAACCCCTACCCCAGAGCAAGTGGCTCTAAAACTATTCTGATAATAGTAGTTGCAATGATAATATTAATAATAATAATAATGATGATGATGATGATAATAATAATAATAACAATACGAAAAAATGCAAATAATTTTTTAAACACTATAAAAAAGAATTAGAAGAAGTTACATGAAACTAAAAGAGTGGAAATTTTTTTGAAAATGTTGGATGACATTGGCAGAATTAAATTGAAAGAAATTAGAAAGAGTTCAAGATGCATTTAGTTGTGGGAAAATATGTGTCTAGATAATTATTTTAGGAGAAACCAATTTTCAAAAAAAATCATTCTCTCCCACATATTTTATTGAAACCTTGTTGATATTTTAATAAAAACAAAGATAGTTTGAAATAATTTTAAAATATTTTAGAGGAGCATAATTTATTTTTTTATACACAATCAATTTTGAATGTTTTTATAGTACTCCATTCTTTGGGGGTGGCAGGGGTGGGGAGATGATGGGGGTGTGGTCGTGTGGGAGAATGGATTAACTCGATCGAGGAATTAGATTATTTGAGGATTGAGTAAAAAATATACTTTGATTCAAAACAAACAAAAATCATTTTCATCTTTTTGAGAAAATATTATTTTACAGAAATGATTTCCTACCACTCATGTAACCTAACATCGAAAAGTAAAATTATAATTTTCTAGAAAGTGTTTTTCTTTCAACCAAATAGATCATATGAATTGCATAGTAGGATCCAAAAGAACATAATCTTAAAAATTTGAATAAAATTTTTATAATGAATAATAATTTCGTTCTGCCCCGTGCGTGGCACGGGTTAAAAAACTTGTTAATTACTATCCATATCTACACTTTTTTACTTTTTCTTAATTTGCGTCGCACGGAGGAAGTAATATTTTACTCCGTAGTATAATTTTGTTCCGATTATCTCAAAGTGGCTCCGGCTCTGCTCTAGTTGTAAGTGTTATATTTGCAACATTTAATAACATGTTCTTTTATTTCATGTTAATATTTAGTTTGAGTTAGGGATCAGATTAGGGTCTGGGCTAAATTTTGACATTAACTCTGAATGTTTATTTAATAGCTGGAATAATTATTCTTGAACTATTCTTAATATTAAATTAATAATTATGTCGAGAGAAAAATTAATTAATTAGTAGAAACTAGTTTTTGCCTTGTCTGTGATAATATGATATTAATTAAGCCAGACTTTTTATAACACATTAATGGTACCTTGAGAGAGGATAAGTTAATGAAATATTTGTACAATAAATATTACTATTCCAAATTTTTATTAAATATGTGACAATAGTAGTTAATCGAGGTAATTCCTTGTCCTGAAATCTATTAATATACCCAAACTATTTATTTTCTTTTTCTCAAAAAGTGCCCAGTAGTGTAGTATTTTATTTTTCAAATCGAATCAAGAAGACTTAGACCCGTCCAAACCTTCCCTAGCTAGAAAAATTAGTTGATTCTCTTCGTCCACTCCTCGAGAGGCACGATGCTTGGAGAAAATAGACTTTTAATTCAGAACGTTGACTTCCGTTAAAACTCTTCCATTAGTCATACTTATTTCGCCCAATTAACGAAGGCAAATCCAAATAAAACCCTGAAGTGTTCCCTTGTTGAATGCCCTGGATCTCACCAATATAATTCACATCATCACCTCGTGCATTACTAGTAAAACATGGTGTTTCCTTCGGTGCACCTAGTGAAGAGAGTGTTTTGAAATACTTCATACTTGTTCCAATAATAAATAGACACATGGCTCTTTTTGCCACCTCATTTAAATGAAGTCAAAGTTGATTTATCTTTGCTACTTAGTCCCAAGGACTCATTTGCAAATTGCAAATAATAAACTTTTTCCTAATCTTTCTTCCGTCAATCTCCTCCTCTACGCCGTTTCTTTTTTGATCATCTTCAACTCTCTCTCTCTCTCTCTCAGTCGCATATCTCTATCTCCCGCTGCCCCGCTCTCTGGCGGAAATTTCAAGGCCCTATTCAAAGATTCTCTTCTTCTACACGATGGGCTTCTCATATAAGGTTCTCATATAAGATTCTCTTCTTCCACTAGTGAAGATGAAAAAATAGGATAAAGTGAAAAGAAATAAAATTAGTTTTGGTTCTCTACTATCTGAATAATATAGTTTGTTCAAGTAAACCTATTTTCCTGACAAACAAATTATGTTAAAATGATGTGCGAAAAAATATGAAACTTAACGGTATAAGTACTACTCCCTCCGTTTGCAAAAAAGCTTCCTAGTTTGACTAGGAGGCAAAATAAAGAATTGTTAAATTATAGTTGACTTCCAATTTTGCCCCTGATGTGATGGATAAAAGTAAGATGTGATGGATAGATTATTAAAGAAAAAGTATGATGTGATAGGTAAAGTATGAAAAAATAAGGGTAAAAATGGTTTTTTAATAGAAAGTGGAAGTGTTTTGTTGGAAGTGAAAAAAATAAAAGAGGAAATGTTTTTGAGAACGGAGGGAGTATATTTTTTAGGGAATATTTAATAATTGAAACTGTGAAAATCGGACACGTGGTACTGAACCAACGGATTAAGAAAACCCTTTTTTTCCTCCTTTCAACTTACGCCTAAATTTTTTTTGTAACCCCTCCCCCATTCATTTCTCATTAATAAGGGAGTAATGACATGCATTAGTTATATATTTTTTTATTTAAAATAAAATAATTCTTTCTTTAGACCATCCGTGTACCCCTCCCCTCCATCTATAAATAGAAGCCTAGGATAGTTAGTTTTTTAGGTTAATTGTTTTGTGAGAGTGTTGGAAGATGGTAACCTTGCGTGATAGCGATGGTAACCTTGCGTGATAGCGGGGAGGTGCTGCCAAGATTCTGGCACACTACTGTTTCGTTAACAAAATTGAAGGTGTGTCATTGACCCTAACCTTTAGCCATATATTTCATGTTGATATATTTTGTGCATTTTTTAGTTGATTTGACTATGCGGAAAAGATAAGAAAAAAGGATTGTATTTTGTCTCCCATATTATATTGTTCGTTATAAAACACGAAAAAAATGTTCTGGGGCAATCTCATGTATGTAGAAACTATCTAAAATGGTTAAAAAACAAAACAAAAAAATGTTATGTCTATGAATGCACCACATTCTCAACAAATGGAAACTCTATCTTAAAAAAATAACAAAACAAATTTGTATACGTTTACACATACTTTGTTTTAAATAAATATGGAATAGCATGTAATTTACCGATTCTCTAATCTTGGATAAGTGAGTTTATTAATATGATAAGCAAATAAATTATTTTTAATACTACGACTTACGAGTACTAATTAATAAGGAAAAAGAATATGGAGTATATAAATAAAAGCAAACTAACTGATTTTTTAAGGTGGCCGAATAGGAAAAAAAGTAATACTTTTGTTTATTTTATAAATATCTTGACAAATGATTTGTTGTAATTAATAAACAGGATTAAAGGTGTAAATTTTTAATTAGAAATATTTGCATAAAATAGCACTAAAACTTAAGTCATTTCTCTAAATAGCACTTAAATTGTTTTATTCCCTAAATATCACTTAATAATGTCCATAATGACTTTTGATGGCAAACATTTACTTGAATAATGACTAATGTATAATGACTAAAAGTGCTATTATATTGGAAAGAAAAACATATGTTATGCTATTTAAAGAAAGTCATTATATTTTAGTATCATTTAAGTAAATTCCTCAAATTTTTATGCTTGTCGTACTGGAATGGTGATTGTTGTTTAATGCAATAATGAGATATATTTTTATGCAAACAATGAGATATGTCGTACTTGATTCATGATTGAATAAAAACAAAACTAGTTCAATTAAATAAACTATAGTAGGGTTAACCAAACATTAGTGGACAAAGTAAAAATTTTAAAGTTCTTTTAAGGGCGTACTCTGATCAAGTATTATCACGTTTCATCAAGTAGGTCAAACCACAAGTTATAAGGCCGGATCATATGTGTCCAAGTGGATGAGCCTACAAATAATCATACCACAATGTGCGCACGAGAACCCGACGATAACCCCGTGGGTCTAGGGTTCACTTCTGATCACTGGACTCGGGGTCACGGGGAGGTATCCGAAGTAAAACTACGTATCGACTAATGCGGGGTTCCAGCCTAGTCACGGCTTAGTCTCTAATCTGTTGTTAACCTAGTAGGTCATGAGTTTTCTAAATGTCCCTAAGTAACTGTTCAAAGTGAGTTTTTTTCCTCAATGATTTTAATTATGCGAAAAGATTTTAAAACTTGAATAACATAAAATATCCATAATATATTTACATGTTATATATGTCTACTTGTTATTTGTCACTCAGCTTTATGCTGAGCGTGTAGTGTTTAACTGCACACGCAGGTACTAGTAAGGGGAATAACTGCTGAGGAGAAATGGCAAAGACGTGGAGGCCGTGCCGAAGGAGTTCCTATTTAATATTTAATATAAAAAACTGTCGAACTTAATTTATGTTGTTTTGGGCTTGAATCCAGGGTTGCATTTACTGTGGACGTTTTCACTTTAACCTTAGCGAATAATTATGAACTCCTAAATTATCAAAACGAGAATTTATTCCAGGAAAATAATATTTTGCAAGATAAACATGGTTTTGCTAGCACTCCTGTCTCGGTGTATCGGGTCACCCAGGGTGGGGTACGGTGTTACATTTTTTGTATCAGAGCACAGTTTATAAAATGGTCTTCTGGCGTGACAAAAAGGGGACTTCTTTTAGTACAACCACGTTTCTATGCTTCCTCCAAGTAGGTATTCGTTTATAGAGCTCTTATATACTTTTATTATTAATATTATTAATTTTTAGAAAATAAAATAAATATATTGTTGTATCTGGTTATGGATTAACACATAGATGGTCTATGGGCGTGACGAAGTCGTGTCAAGCATAGACCCTATTAGATCGAAACTCATTCCAAACAGGAAGAGGAAAAAAAGACCGAACCCATAAGGACCTGACACTCGCCCTTTGAGGTCAATAAATAAACGTAAAGCAACACGCAGAAAGAATAGACGCCGACGTAGAGGGGTCCTAAAGGAAGCCTGGATCTCTATGGGAATTGCTCATCGCATCTGCAGAGGGTTTGCAGAGGAGCCTGCGCTAGACAAGCCATAGAGAACTTTTAAACATTATTTACTTTAAAAGTTCGTGCACGTGTAACTAGTCCATGTACGTGTAAAGTAAATAATGTTTAAGAGCTTGCTATGGCTTGTCTACCGCACGCTCCTTTGCAAACCCTTCGCAGATGCTATGAGCAGTTCCCATAGATATCCAGTCTTCCTTTGGGACCCCTCTACGTCGACGTCTATTCTTTCTGCGTGCTGCTCTACGTTTAATTATTGACCTGAAAGGGCGAGTGCCAGGTCCTCATGGGTTCAGTCTTTTTTTCCTCTTCTTGTTCGGAATGAGTTCCGATCTAACAGAGTCTATGCTTGACACGACTTCGTCACGCCCATAGACCATCTATGTGTTAATCCATCACCAGATACAATAATATATTCTATTTTATTTTCTAAAATATAATAATAGTAATAATAAAAGTATATAAGAGCTCTATAAACGAATACCTGCTTGTAGGAAGCATAAAGACGTGGTTGTACTAAAAGAAGTCCCCTTTTTGTCAGGCCAGAAGACCATTTTATAAACTGTGCTCTGATACAAAAAATGTAACACCCCACCCTGGGTGACCCGATACACCGAGACCGGAGTGCTAGCAAAACCAGGTTTATCTTGCAAAATATTATTTTCCTGGAATAAATTCTCGTTTTGATAATTTAGGAGTTCATAATTATTCGCTAAGGTTAAAGTGAAAACGTCCACAGTAAATGCAACCCTGGGTTCAAGCCCAAAACAACATAAATTAAGTTCAACAGTTCTGAGCCACCCTCTCTAGATTGTCGCATCTCTGACGGTGTTTCTGCAAACTCTCAAGTAGCTCTATCTTTTGCATACCACTCACACATCTTATCATAAAATGGTATTGGCTTGTTCCACCAATATTTTGCTTCTAGATGAGCCTACATAATAAATTACATTTGTATTAGAATCGCGGCATAATACATGGAGTATGTCCTTTTCATACATAAAAAATGTAGTTTGTCCATACCTCCACAAAAGCACCCCACATATCATCATCGACGTCCCAAGTCATTGTGGTTGAGTTGAATCCCCAACCATTGGTTGAGATTTTCCAGAAAACATCGAACGCAACTGCGAATTTACCTTTAAGCAGCCGCATATGTCCACGAAACTTGTCTTTTGTCCAATTCTCATCTGGATATCTTTCTTTCAACTCTTTTAAAATATAGTCATAAGCTCGGGGAGTGAATGTACCTCCAACACGATTTCCTTTTCTGTGTTGTTCCAAATGAGCATCAATAAGAAACTCATCCATGTCCTCAGTCCAGGTTGTTGTTTGCATACGTCCCCGATTGTTTTTTGTAGCCATTTTAAATATAAGCAAACAAATAAGAACACATACTACTGTGTACTACAAGAATAACACATATATATTTAACATAAGATAATAGCCATTATGCATTCGTATGTTGCACAAGAAAGAAGGGCATACTCAATAGTTAATTAAAATTTAAAATCCAAACAGAATGTTGCACATAGTAAGTTCAAATACACACACCATTATAAGTCATTCATAACATCAAAAAGTTTTACAAAAGCTATGTATGAGTAATGTAGTCCTCCCACATGGCATTTGCAATGGAATCACGTAATTCTTCTGCCATCATTGTGTTCTCGTTCCCATTATTATGAGCGTGAGGTATGTAATGCATACGTGTTTTAGTCTCACTCTTCTCAATGTTGTCATCTTCGTCTTCATCTATGACTTCGTTCCAAATCTCGTCAGGATCCCCACGTAAAAATAGTTGTGTAAAATTGAGCAAGCCACTATTTTTTTGCGTCTTTATTTTAAAATTCGGCTCATCAGCAATTTTCATAATTGGGAAACGTTTCTTGATCACACCAAATGCCCTCTCCACCACATTTCGTAGTGACGCATGATGCAAGTTAAATAGTTCTCTCTTATTTGTTGGTGGGTTAACATCGTAATCTTTTAAGTGATACCTTACCCCTCTAAAAGGTGTGATAACACCTTAAGATAAAGAGAATCCAGCAACTCCTAAATAAAACTTACCTATACAAAAAGAAAAAGAATGTGTTATCTTAAAATACTTTCATACTTATTGTAGTAAAAAATCAATACTTGCCTTGTGGAATTTTTAAAAGGTATGCACGGTGCAACACATCTCTCAACATTCTAGCATGAGATACCGTCCCCTCCCAACCCGGTAGCATGTACGTAAAGCTTAGATCAAATGTGCAAGCACCTAGAACATTTTGAGTGGGAAAGTCTTTTCTACCACGGAATCTAGGTGCATCAGCCACAAGCACTTTTGCCCGCACGTGAGTTCAATCAATTGCTCCCACACAATCCTATGGACATACTCCCTCCGTCCCAGAGTATTTGTCCACTTTCATTTTTACACACCATCCAATACACTTCTTTAATCCATTTTATCTTGTAATTTGTATATTAAAAAATTATAGAAATTATATATTAATAATCTATATGTTAAGACAAATCAAACAAGATCACACATGACTATATTTAGGTTTACACATTGAGAGAATTTGATGAGTCAAAGTGCTTAGATGAACAGTTCCAAAAGTCAAAAGTGGACGAATATAGCGGGACGGAGGTAGTAATATATAACTTTAGATGTATCTTGCAAATTTTAAAAGAGTGTGAGTTTGTCTTTATGTAATGTCACCTTGAAATAGGGGAAAAACTTGGAATTGTTATATATCTCAGAAGGGATCTGTGTGCCATCTGGTTGTGTTAGAAACAATGCTTCTAACTTATTTACAGCATTCAAAACATTGTGAAAATGTCTCCATATAACCTCTCCTGAACGAGCAAACAATCACCGCACTTGCCTATTAGTGACACGGTGGCCAAGTATGTACAAGAAAAGAGCAACTTGTTCTTCAATACTTATCCACTTCGCTGCTGTTAATCCACCATGATGCACTAATAGACCACATAAGTTCAAAAAAGCATCCAACCCCATTTGTATCATATCTCGACATACAAGTCTATTTGTCAACAGCTCTCGCACAACATTTTTTAAATCCTTTGATTCTAAGGAAATTGATTCATCCACAATTCTCACTCGATCTCTTCTAGTGCATAAATACCATACTTGTAGTAATATTAATACCGAAAGCAAAGCTGTCATTTGATTTAAGTAGAGATAATCAAGCATATCATCATCCGTGATGCCACAAATCAGAACCTAAACATTTAGCATAATTTAAGTTAATATATTCACGTTAATATGTAAGAACTCAAATCGCTAGCACCTACAAGTCCAGATAATTGCAAAAAAGAGTAGAATAACAAAACTGCATAAAACGGAGTACAATAACAAAACTACATAAATGGAGTACTCAAAATTGCACAATTGTAGAAAAAAATTGAAAAAAAAATAACCAGAAAAAAGCACAAAAAAGAATAGAAAAAACCATAAAAAAACAGATAAAAAGAGGAGAAACGAAAATAGAAAAAAAGTAAGCAGAGAACCACAAACGCAGAAGATTGAAAAAAAACAAAAACTGCAGAGGGGAATGGGAAGATCGTCGAACTGTAAAGTCAAAAAAGGGAAACAAAAAAAATCTATGAGATGAAAATTGAAAAAAAGTGAAAAATGAAGTAATGATAAAAAAGTCACGTAGCAGCGAGGGGGAGGTTATCGAAAATATTGAAACTGAAAATTAGAGCAGAACGGTAGTAGCGCCGAATGGTAGAACGGTAAAACTGAAAAAAACTAAGCAGAGCAGAAATTATCGAAAATTAGATCGGCAACAACTATAAAAATTTAGATCGGCTAAAACTGGAAAAAAACTAAGTAGAGCCGAAAATACCTGCATTGGAGATGGCGATCAGAAATTACATGCGAACGGAACAATGAAGATGACGATGCGATCGGGTGAAGATGGCGATCAGTTTTCCGTACGTTGCTTTGCGAATGACGAAAAGGGTAGTAGCAGAAAATAGTTTATTACCTTGATATTTCGCCAAATTGGCAGTCACCTAAAATCTACTGTTGAGAGATAACCCTACCTCCCCTACTTCTCTTGACCTATCTCAATTTTTGTTATCAAAGTAAAATATTAAATCTAAATCCTTTTACCTCCCAGCCTCCAAACAAACACAATGTTAGAGTTTTGGTGTACCAACCAAGTACCCAACATTAATCTTTACTACTCCGTAATTAGCAAGAAAACCCTTCAGTATCCGTAATAAGCAAGAAAAGAGAAAATAAGTCTTTTATAAAAGCTGTGAAACGACGTCATTTCAACAAATAAAAAATACGGAGTAATATCTCAGCTCCTCTGTGGCCTGCGGAAGAAGAGCTCCCATCGCGACGACGAAGAAGCGAGACGGAAGTGCGAAACCCTAGCGGCCTAGCTCAATTCCCAGCTGCATCGCCGCCGTCGGGAATCGACCAGCCCACCACCACCTCGCCGCCGCAGAATCAGCCCTCCAGGTTCCGGGACAGGCTCACCGAGCACGGCCCACCGCTCCAGGCTCGAAAGACCACCGCCCAATCACTCTACCCTCCGAATTTCCTTATCTCCAACTTTAAAGGCAAATAATTTCAATTAATTTTGAATGTCAGTTATTTATTATGAATTGTGAATATATGAATCTATGATGTCATTGCATTTTATTTGAGCATTTTAGTAATTATTAGAGTAGTCCGTATGATTTATAAATTCAATTGTTTGTTAATTTTATTCACTATAAATTGGTTAAATTTATTTATAACTATTAGTGTTAAATTGTGAGCCTAAAATGATGTTTTTTTGATAATTATTTTTTAAGATTAGGATTTACAATGATCTAATCTTGCACTTCTCCTTTCGTCTTTTTGTATGTGAATGTGTGTGTGTATATATGTAGTTTCCATGCACCCTCATAGGGTGAATTAAGTTTGCTCTTGTATAAAATTAATCAAACCATTATTTGTATGCCAAACATAGCACCATCTCTTAACCAACATCACCTTGTGTTCAGACATGGTCTGTAATTGTTGTTGGCAAATGAAGCCCTTACACTTCAAGTAGGCATGTGTTTTTTAAAGGAGATCCTTTGCCACTTCACATTTATTTTGTTCTACAAGACTTATTTTTTTACAAGTGAATTGTGTGGATCTGGATTTAATAGTGAAAGCTAGAAGAGTCCAATTGTAAAATAACATTATTTGTGTATTGTTTTATTATGGGGTATTACCTATGTGATTATTCAAATGTCAAATATTGTTTTTGGTTTACTATTAAAAATAATGAATGAGCTCAAGAGCCGAGACAAGGATTTGGAGGTCTGAATGCTTGGGACCCCATTGTCACAAAATCATGGATCTGCCTTTGTGCGTATGCAGATTGTGGGGTTACTGGTGTGAAAAAGATAACAATTTTAGCTCAATTTTTAGATTTAGGCTTGCACTTTTTTCACCCTCCATATTTGTGTGAGGATACGTTTAATGAAGTTTGAATCTTGCGATAGGGAACCTCAAAATAGCTATCATTATTGCTATAGTTAGAGTTTCACTGTGAATTGATTATTCTCTGCATAGCTCCCTCTGAACACTTGATTAGAACAACACGAGATTGAAAATTAAAGCAAATTGTAAAAAAAAGAAAGATATGCTAGCATTCAGCATATGTGCTTATTTACTACTGGAGTATTACTCTTATCTTTGTGACCGTTCCTTCAGACATTTCTAATTTTTACCATTGTTACTGTTTCTTCCGATAGGTTTGGCGGAAAAATTGGTTAAACAAACTGCATTCTTGAGTATAAGGTAGGACATGCATTTGACCTATGTAATTATACATATGTTTTTCTAGTTGCATGCTTATGCAACTAAAATGCTTATGTAAAAATATAGGTTAAGGGCATGACCACTGCTCTGGAACCTGAATTAAAGGATATGGAAGAAGATGACGAGGATCCCATACGCTTCAAGCGTATGACCACTGCCGTGAAGCCTGAATTAGATATGGAAGATGATGACGAGGAGCCCATACGTTTCAAACGTAATAACACATCAAAGCCAAATGCTTCAAACTCTGAGCCTTCTTCATCGTCCCAAAAGCGTGATGGACTGGTTGGGAGGCACACATCCAATACCAATTCTTCAAACGGCCAAAACCAGAAAGACAAGAGAGCCCCCTCAACATCCAAAGCATCACCTGGGAAGTCACCATTGTTCAGTCCAAGATCATCACCAAATGCATCACCATTGATCAGCCCAAGAGTGTCACCTCTACCAAGCAGGACATTACCTGCAACTACTGCTATTAAAGTTTCAAAATCATCTGCTTCTGCAGCTAATCAGCCAAATGTTTTAACCCAATGCAGAACAAAGAAAGTTGATGAGGAGGAAAAACCACCTGTTTCTTTCCCAAAGGATGAATCAGACTCTGAAGATGATAAACCATTGGTCACGCTACCTAGATTGTCAATTAGCAATTCCAACCATTGTAACAAAGTGGCTGGTTCTTCTTCATCAGCTCCAAAGGTTGAATCCCCTGATAATGAAGATCCAGACGATAATAAGCCATTGGCAACAAGAATTAAAGTTAAACCTAATACAGAGACTTCTAACTTCAAGATGTCTGAATCTAGTAAGGATAGACATGTACTGCCAAAATGCCCGCACCCGCAAAATGGTTCTGCATCTTCTACAGTCCCAAGCAAGAGATCTATAGATGAGGGAAAATCTTCTGGTCAGAGTTCCGTCAAAAAGCCAAGGCCTTCTGACTCATCTGCCCCGGTTAAGGGTAACAAACCTTCAGTAAAAGCAGAAAAGAAGGAAGATGATGATGAAGATTGCATGTCTTTATCACAACGTATTAAGAAGTCACGCGATTCTGTTAATAAGTCATTACCTACAAAGAAAACCTGTGCAGTTGCTTCCTCTTCACGTACAATAACAAAGAATAAGTTGAAGAAAGTGAAAAAAAACTCTAAATACTCTCAATCATCAAAGGTACCCCCTAGTTCGGGTGATGGAATAAAGTGGAATACTTTGGTTCACAATGGTGTAAGTTTCCCCCCACCATACAAGCCTCATGGAGTTAATATGCTTTATAAGGGAAAACCTGTAGATCTCACATCAGAGCAAGAGGAGGTCTCTTTTTTCAATCTCTCTGTGCATGTGCATGTGTGAATATATTTTGTACATAGACAAGGTGAATTTTTATTTTACTTGCAGGTTGCAACAATGTATGCGGTGATGCTAGATACAGATTACATGAACAAACCCCAATTTAAAGAAAACTTCATGAACGACTGGAAGAAATTACTTGGAAGAAATCATGTGATTCAGAGTTTGGAGCACTGTGATTTTACCCCTATATATGAGTGGCATCAGAAAGAGAAGGAAAAGAAGAAGCAAATGAGTTCAGAAGTAAGTCAATTGTTGACTACTCGGTTATGTGCTGAATGTGGATAAGTTTAGAATAAGTGAACAAGTAATTGTTGATATAATAAATGCTGTCTTATAAACTTATAAAATTAATAGCAGTGGTAATAATAAAAAACAACAAAAATTATAGCATATGAATCATGTGTAGACATGTCATTTAACACTTCTTTTAGTTCACATATGTTATATTCTGTATGTGTTGCTACTGGTAATTTAAAATGTCATTCTTGTGATATAATCTTATGGAGCTATAGGAATGTAAATTTGAGCTTAGCATGTGAATGGTTGGATTTTGCAGTCTTTCGTTGAGCATTTGACTGTCTATTGTTTTCTAAGTACACTTATTATTTATTAGACCCCATTTCTCTGTCACAAAGCAAAGTGATGAGGAAATATTGTGTGACTCTGTTTCATTTACTGAACAGCTTGGCATTATTGCTGCATTGTGTCTTTATATTTTTGCAGTTGAATTTCTATTAATTTACTTGTCTTCAAACACTTGTTTTAGTCCTTGAATATTATAGCTTTCATGTTTTGCTACTGACCTAAAAGATTCACAACTTATTGTGCTATAGATTTATGTACTCCCTCTGTCCCAAAATGAACCAACCATTTATTTTGCACAAAAGTTTGGGAGCTCATAACTTTAATCTTAAAAGTGAGGTTAAGGGCAATGTTATCAAAGAAAAACTACCTCTTCTGGAAATGGAGAACTTATTTTAAGACAAACCAAATAGGCAAATGGAAAGTTTATATAGGGACAGAAGGGAGTATGTACTATGACACGTATTTTTTTTAGATTTTTCTTTTGGAAAAAAGAAATTTTATTAATAAAAAAATACATGTACAGAAAAATATATACCTTGGCTCTAATACAAACAGAAAGCAAAAAGTCAAAAGTGTTAGAACAAAATGTCTAATATGTTATATCAGAGAAACAGCACTAAAGATAAAATAAGGAAAACTGCTGCCTGAAAAACAGAAGATGTTAAGAATTAAGACCTGCTACGCCAAGGGGACCCATTGAAGTGGTTGGACATATGTATTATTACAATATTACCTAATGATTACTTTCGAGTTAAAGAAATATATATGAGTAATTGATATTGCTGGCAGATTAGCTTTTTGGATGGGAAGCTGTGTTAAATGATTTATGCTCTAATAATCTAAGAGTGTTCTTGTATTTACAGGAGAAAAAGGCTTTAAAAGAAGAGAAAATGAAACAAGAAGAGAAGTATACATGGGCTATCCTCGATGGTGTTAAAGAAAAGGTTCTCGTCCATCCCTTCTAGTGTTCTTTTTGGGTTTCATTTTCCTTCTTTCATATTTTGGAGATATATCAGCTGCTGCTTATGATAAAATTTTGGAAATGTATTGTGGCATCATATTCATATAGACTCCCTGGTTGAAAATCAATGTTAGTAACATTTTTTCCCAGCAGAGTATAATGTCACATCTTCCTTGTGGCCGTTGATGGGATTTGTAGGTTGGAAATTTCAGGGTTGAACCTCCTGGACTGTTCCGAGGTCGTGGAGAACATCCAAAGGTTAGCTTATATGTAATTCTGGAATTGCATATCCTGCGGTTGTTTAGATTTTTCTCAATGTTGTGCTTGGTAAGTTGCACTAAATTTACCATGTTTGATGTAAAAACAGATGGGAAAACTGAAAAGACGCATCCGTCCAAGTGATATTACCATAAACATAGGAAAAGAAGCTCCAATCCCAGAATGTCCGATCCCCGGTGAAAGGTTCTTTTCAAAGTTTTTTTTGAGAAAACATATCTTTTAGATGTATTTGGTGTGTTGTATCCATTCAAATTAATAAAAAAAATCTTTTGCAGGTGGAAGGAGATAAGGCATGATAACACTGTAACATGGTTAGCATTCTGGAATGACCCTATTAATCAAAAAGAAGTCAAATATGTTTTCCTTGCTGCTAGCAGTACCTTGAAAGGGCTAAGTGATAAAGAGAAGTATGAGAAAGCAAGACTTTTAACGGTAATTGATATAAAATGCATAATGAGCTGCGGCACTAAGATTTTTACACAGATCACCCTCTTAGTTGACAACCTTTTATGATTTATATTTAAGGAAAAATATAGTCATGTTGGATCTTGTTGGATTTGTCTTGAAATGAACTTTCATAATATATATTTTTATATCTTTGGCTTAAGTGTAATTGAAGATATTAATTTTTTAATTGTTTAATTTAATCATTGTCAAGAATGACACTACAAATGTTGCAATTGTTTTGAAAAGGAGGAGGTATTATTTTATTGATAATTAACTCAGTGGTTTACTGTTTGTGTTGTCAGAAGAATTGTAGGTACAATTGATAATATATATGCCTCTTGGATGCAGGAGCACATAGATCGGATCAGAGCTGCATATACTAAAGATTTTAATAGTAAAGATCCTGTTAAGAGGCAAATAGCTGTTGCTACCTACCTTATTGATAAACTAGCTCTCAGGGCTGGCAATGAAAAGGTATTGAAAAGTTGCATGATATTTTTGAATGGTGTGTACATTGTGAGAAAATTACCATTGTGCGTGGATTTGATGTATTGAATTGTTTATGATGCCTGAATCGAACAAACTGTTTTTGCAGAAAAAACAGCGACCTAGTAAAATAATAGTACATGCGGTTCCGTACTTCCATTTAGTGAACTTATCGACACATGTGATTTCTAGAAATAAAGACCACACTGACAAGAACAATAATACTAATAATATGCCATAAACTATTAAAGATTAAAGTATATACCATGCACTGTTCTTTCTCTTTTTTACATGTGTGTATGTGTTTTAACAACTAATTGCTACCTATCTTGGTGTGATTTAGGATGAGGAAGAAGCTGACACAGTTGGTTGCTGCACATTGAAAGTAAATAATGTAGAACCAGAGCCTCCAAAAAATCTGAAGGTGCTGTGTTTCTGGTGTCTTTATTCCTTTATTATGGCATGCTCTGCTCATTGGTTGCTGGAAAGGCATACAGAGATATTAATAGGGGACGGTGGGCAAACAGAGTTAGTGGGGAATAATGAAGCATTACAAATTCCAAATTCTATAGCTTGGGTTATAAGAATATGAAGTTAGAGTTCCTGGGATATACTCTTATAATATTCCAAATTGGGGGATCAGTAAATCAACAGATTCAACAAGGAAAAGAAACCCTACTAGCCAAACATGCGATTAATATTGAAGCATCTATATTCACTTATATCAAGAAAATATAATCCTTCAGCTAGATTTTGTCCCATGCCATCAACTTCCAACATGAGAAATTAACATTTTCTTCATCCACCTCCAGTTTGATTTCCTTGGTAAAGATTCTATCAGATATCAAAATGTTGTTCCAGTAGAAGAAGCTGTTTTCGAAGCAATTCAACAATTCCGGAAAGGTTAGTAACACCAGTGCTCTATTTTACTACACGATACTCCCTTCCGATTCTTTTTAAGTGCGTGTCACTAAGAAAATTATTTGATGAAGCACAATTTAATTATTTAAGGCAGGATTAATCTAAATAATCATTATAATATTCAACTATTTACACTATACTCTGTAATCTGTATTTCTTTATTGTCATAGGTATTCACAACTATTTACATCATTTTCAGGGAAGGGTGGTGATGATGATCTTTTTGACTTGCTTGATACGAGTAAGCTGAATGCTCATTTGAAAGAACTCATGCCTGGTCTTACTGCAAAAGTCTTTCGTACTTATAATGCCTCTATTACATTGCAAAGAGAGGTAAGTTCTCTGAACTTAGAATTCCTCTATTACATTCAATGATGTAAATTTTTACAATTTGTTATTTGAAAAAAAATGTTTCTGCATATAAGTATTAGAAAATGATATGCTGTACTTCACGGAAACTTTCACCAAGTAATGTTTCTCATTTCTCTTATGTTGGAGTCTTGGACATGTTTGGACACGAGGAATCCTCAAAAAAACAAACTACAAATTTCTCAGCTCTTTCTGTATTTATTTAAACATATTGGTCGTGTTTATAGCAACATTTCTAGGTGCATTTCCGAGGACATTTATTGTTTTTTTCTAAAATAGAAAAGCTTGAACTCGATATTAATGCAACTTTTTTTAAGTAAATATTGTTTTACTGAAGCAGATGTATTTTCTTTGAGATACACACAGACTCATGTGTGTGTATTTGTGTATAGATATGTGTGTGTGTGTAATGTGATTTTAATATTGTTAAACTATCTCTCCCTCCATCCCAGAATCATTTTTCCACTTGCCTCGTTAGGATGTCCAATATCATCTCATTTTCTTTTTTGTCACATACTTTTTACTTATTTTTATTAAAAACATGCTTTTACCCTCAACAATCTATGTATTTACGACCTTTTACTCCACTTTAAGTAAATCCAAGAAGTAGGTAGGGACATTTGAATAATTTTCTTTTCCTTCTTAATCTCCAAGCCATTTTTATTATTTCATATGGGAAGATGATTTTTAGATGAAGGTAGTAAGAGGCTAGTACTCCCTCCCTCCACCCCGAAAATATTTTCTCATTGCAACACTTTGAATATACAACAAGTCAACAACAACCCAGTTGGATCCCATAAAAATACGGTATGGGGAGGGTGTGTTTACGCACACCTTTCCCCTACTTGACAGTGTTGTTTTCCTATTTCTCGTGGCCGTGCTACCTAGATGACATTTAACAATTTATGTTCTATTTAAGTATTTAACAATTCTGCACATGTAACAATGGTGTGGATAACATCTGCTTCAGTGGTGTAAGATTGCATGTATTTTGATCTCCAAGAATTAGGATGTTGGATTATACTGTGGTTATTATATTTGTAAGCCTTAACACTTAAGGTTATTAAAATAATTCATAGTAACTGTCAAACTCTAGGCCTCTGAGTTGATTCAGAAAAACCCAACCCCAAGGTTTTTGGGCTAGTAAAATCGTTCAATTTACTTGGTACTCTGCAGTATCTAAACATGCAAATCTCTACATATTTCCTATCATTAGTGCACACAAAAGTGGTTTGTTTCCCCCCTTATTAAACCTCATACTATGGAATGGATTCAGTTGGATATGCTCACAGACAGTGGAGCTGATGTTGCAGATAAAATAAAAGTATATCAATATGCAAACAAGCAGGTAAACACAATTTGCAGCCACACCTCAGATATATTGCATGCTGTGGTTATATTTGAGGAGGTTACTTCAATTATAGCCCCTTGCTTTGTGCTGTAGGTGGCAATCATTTGCAATCATCAACGCAGTGTTTCTAAGACACATGATGTACAAATTTCCCGCTTGAACAATAAGATTGATGAGTTAAAGGTAATTTTTTTCCTAATTATCTTGTCTTACTGATGTGGCTGGTTGATTGAGAAGAGAAGCACAATAAAAGAAAAATAATGATTTACATGAGGTGAGTTCTTTTGACACTAATGGCCAATTGTCATAATATGACACCAGTTCATCCGAGGGCCCTAGGGCGTTGCATTCAACCCCAAAGTGATTGATATCCCTCCTACTCCCTCCCACCCCAGCTCTACATTTGATAGTAGACTGACACCCACATTGGGGTGGGGGGGGGGCACTTTGGGTTGGAATGGAGCACCGTAGAACCATCAAATGGACGCACATCGGGGTTTGGTGTCAAAAGAACTCCAATGGCTTTAAAAGAACTCCAATGTTTTTACATATGATTACTCGTATATGTGTGCAGCAATGTTTTTATAAAAAAAATACTATGGTTCTCGACTTTTAGGGTGTTTTAGAAGAACTTAAAACCGATTTGGCCCGTGCGAAGAAAGGAAAGCCTCCGATTCAGAGTGATGATGGGAAGACAAAGAGAAATCTTGCACCTGAAGCGTATGAAATTTTCTTTTCCACTGTCATGAAGCAATGCATAATAAGTGATTAATTAATGGATGTTTTCTTTTTTTTTCTCTAAAATCTTGCTGCTTGAGTATGTATAGTTTCTGATGGGGATCTGTGCAGCTTGCAGAAAAAGATCGATCAAACCAATGCGAGGATTGAGACAATGGAGAAACAAATACAGACAAAAGAAGACATGAAAACAGTTGCACTCGGCACGTCCAAGACCAACTACCTAGACCCAAGGATCTCGGTCGCGTGGTGCAAAAAGAATGAGGTTCCCATTGAAAAGGTCCAACATGCCCCTTTTTAGTCCTGTTGTTATGATCATAACATTTTGAGATTGACAATGCCCCTACCTCTCCCCCCCCCCAAACACACACTCACACACATTATTGTTTACTCCCTCCATCTGGAATTAGTTATCAACTTTTTTCAAAATCCCATTTTTAGAAATGAGTTTAAAATGCCAAACAAACCTTTCAAATGAGATTGTTACTAATTCATGTTAACAACCCTCATAACCTATATCTAGAGAATTTTAGGCAATTTTTCAATTCTTTTTTTGTTAAATATGGAAAGTAGGCAACTAATTCCAGACAAACGCAAACAAGCTTAACAACTAAATTCGGATGTTGAGTTTCTATATCCCCCTCTTAGTGACTGGTGGGCACTTCACCTCTTTCTGTTTCTTGAATGATGCCAGATATTCAACAAGTCTCTTCTGGCAAAATTTGCTTGGGCCATGGACGTTGAACCCGACTTCTCCTTCTAAAGATGATCCCTGTTCAATCACCCGGGGGGTAAAACGGTAAAACGTTGTATGCTGACAATTTTATTTATTTGTTTTTTTTCCACATAATGACACTTGCTGCAATATTGTATTGTATTACGGATTATATTGCATTTGTATTGAAGAAAGCTGTTACAGTATCAATGTAGTCACGTGGTTGTCCAAATAAATGGTGTCCTGATTGAACTCTTGTTCAAAAGATCCCACTCTAATTTATTCTTTTCCTTTTAAAAAAAAACATTTCTGCCAATGATCCAAACTGTGTCGTTTTACACTAATATTATCACATTCAAAGTTACACGCCAATTTCAACTTAAATATGTTACAAAAATGTTTGGTCCCTTGACAAACAACGATGAGTTATCGGACGAAAGTGTTATTGTTCGAATTGTTTTGAAATTTTAAGCATTTTTAATAGGACGGAGTTTTTTTTGGGTATAGCCCTGATTTATCAATTTTTTATAACATTTATTTATTTGGATTATGCTTAATTTGTGGTTAAAAAGTGTCACTGTTCAATCAAAACAAGAAAGTTTTCAGTAAATCAAAACAAGGGAGTACTTACTTTGGGTTTTGGGTTATTCGTCAATTTTTTTGCAATTTACGAAAATGGTTAGACAACGAACGACAATGAGTCATCCGACAAAAGTGCTAGTGTTCAAATTGTTGTTTTGAAATTTCAGGCATTTTTCAATAGTACTTAGTTTTTGGGTTATTCATTAATTTTTTACAATTTACAAAAATGATTAGTCCCTTTACAAACCACAATGAGTTATCCAACAAAAGTGTTGTGTTCAAAATGTTGTTTTGAAATTTGAGGCATTTTTTAATAGGACTGAGTTTTTTGGTTATAGACTAATTGCTCATCTCTACTTGAGCACTCATTACCTACTTTCAACTTTTAAGAAATACTCCCTCCGTCCCCCTAAGATCTTTTCGTTTTGATTTTTTGCGGTTTTTAAGGAGAGTTGAAAAAATGTGAAAGTTTACCAAAATAACCTTAATGAAAATGGGTGGAGTGTATTACATAAGGTGGAAAAGGTGTAATAAATAAAGTGGGGGTAGTTGTGGTATTTTAATTATTAAAAAAGGTAATGAGAAGATCTATGTGGGACAAATAAAAAGGGCTAATGGGAAGATCTATGGGGGACGGAGGGAGTATAAAGACTGAGTTTTTTAAAGTATGTATCTTCTTTTTTTTTGTAGTGTTGCAAAATGAAGCATGTTCTTTTTATTTTGAGAAATATTAGAATCACAAATATGATTTTCTTAATTATTTATTTATTTAATCAAATAATATAATCATGTCATTTTTATTTTATGCAGTTAGTGCTTCAACTTTAAAAATTCCATAAATAGACCTTTAAGTCACGTCTGCGTTGTACGATTAGTCTTTCTATTACTCCCTCCGTCCCTATTTATTCACCACACTTTGACTTGCACACAATTTTAGGAAGTAGATAAAAAACATTTTTTTTCCAAATTTACCCCTGTACAAACCAAAAAGGAGATAGAAAGGGAGTACTTAATTAAAGTAAATATCACATCAATGTCAATATTTTAGAACTAGGCCACAATTTGTACACATCATCACCAAATACACCACACACAAATTTCATTTAAAAATAAAGAGGGAAAAGAGCCAAAATTTAACATTCTTTCCCCCCAATTTTTCCCCTAAGTACACCCTCTTCAATGCCCATATAAATAAGTAGTGTGCATTAAAGGGATCACATACTGGGCAGCCATTGACATTAGGATTGAATGGCAAGACATTGGTCTCAGATTTTAAACTCATCACAGACCACAGAGCAGTCATAGTGGGCAACAAACATTAGGCATCACATACTGGGCTGCATTTCACATAAGGAATGAATGGCAACACATAGGTCACAGATTTTAAAGTCATCACAGACCATAGAGCAGTCACACTAAGTAAAATTTCACGTAATGAATGAATGGCAAGACCAGTACACATTTCAACTCATCACAGACCACACATCAAGGGCAAATACTCCAAAATTTGGGCATTATACACCTCGGGCCACACCAGTAGACAACCAAATACTACCTCCGTCCCAATTTATAACGCCTGTTTCGGTTTACGATGTTTGACTGAAATTATTTTCAAAGTATTTTATAGGACAAATGATATAGAATTAAAAAATAAAAATTACATATTAAAAAACTACATCAAAAGATCTACAAAACTAGTAGTGACAATAATATTTTATTTTATCAAATTACTAATGAAAATAGAGAAAGAAAGTGAATGAAGTTTGACCCTGTGAATAGTAAACAGACATTATAATTTGGGACGGAGGGAATACATAAATTGATTTCACAAATGGCACAGAGATGTGATGGCCTCACTAAAAAGTGTTGAAATTTAATCCCCCCTTCATCATTAGTTAAGAGATTGAATTACCATAACATGCAGAGACAATCCACTCGATAATAAAGTTATTGAGGAGAGGTCATACCACAGGAAGGCAGATCGAAGGGTATTGGTGGAGGGTTCACCATCAAAGCATAATCTGTGCAGACCAATTGGCTATGATCATAGTCAGATGTCACCTCTTCGGATTCCCCATCGTCGCTCTCAAATTCCAGATCTGATTCATCAAACATCGCCACATCCCCGTACTTCTTACGATACTTTCAGGTTGGGTCTGTATCAGAAGTAGAAGTCGAAGGAGTAGGATAGCGACGCTTCAATCCTCGTCCAGATCCACCAATTTGGGGGAATCTACCTCGCGAGGGTGATTCCTGTATCAACAGATAAAAAAAACATTATGAGGGATCTGGATTACCCATAGATTAGAGAGTGGAGAAGACGAAGATTGTGGCGGAGATGAATTTGAGAATGTCGCGGAGATGAAGAGATTATGGAGAAGACGAAGATTGAAGATGAGAGATCAGATGGAGAAGACGAAAGAGTGTGGTGAGAATGAGAGGAAAGGATTCTGATTGAAGATAAGGATTTTGAAAAAGCAGGGGTATAATAGTCTTAACACACCAATTTACTTTCCATTATTAGAAGTGTGGTGAATATTTTGGGACGGATGAAAAAGGAAAGTGTGACAAATATTTAGGGACGGAGGGAGTATTTTTTGTTAGTCCATGCATTTTTACTTCTATTTAATCAAACTTTTTAGTAGCAATAAGTTACTCTTGCTTATACAAAGTATTTGATTTTACTTTTTAGTAGTAATAAGCTACTCTTGCTTTTATTGGTTTAATGTTTAAGAAAAAAATAGTAACTTCATCTTAAAGTGTTTATCAAATTTTGACTTTTTTGTGTCAACCATGGTTGACTTTGTTAGAATAAAGGTCCAACGCTAGAGGGGGGGGGGGGTGAATAGCGTTTAAAACAAAATCGCAGGAAATAAAAACGAGAGCGTTAAAGTAAAGAGCGTAAGGAAAGAGCACACCGGATTTTATCCTGGTTCACCACAACGTGTGGCTAATCCAGCTCCTCGAGAGACTCTCTCGAGCTACACTAACTCCGTTAAGCTTAAGGGTGTTTAACAAACCGATACAACTTGAGAACCCGAGTCACACGAGCCTCAACACCTTTGCTCGGAGATACCGCACTCCAAGACTTCTCACGAAGGAACAAGAAACTTCCTTCGAGTTTACAACAAGGGAACAAACTCCCTTAAAGTGTATGAAAACACTTAAACACTCAGGAATAAAACTCTCACAAAGAGTAGATATGAGTGAACTAGTAAACGCTCAAGAACACGACAATTTCTTCAAGAATTGGCTCTCAAATAGCTAAGAAAAATNGGAATGCTTATGCAATGAAAGAGTATTGAAATGTTGAAGAATTGTGTGTTAAAAGAGAGGATTTGGGGGCCATTTTATAGCCCAAAATGAGATAAATCCGTTGCTAGAATTTCCAACAGGATGAAGACAAATTTTTCAGGAACACGGGCTGATAGTCGATTGTCTAAGCATGATAATCGATTATCCAAAGATTCCCTATCCAAAAATTTAAAACTCTATCCGTTGGAGGACAACGGTAACCCAGATAATCGATTGTCAACAAGTGATAATCAATTATTGGTCCTCTCAGAAGATTCTGGGTTTTGGCTGCAAAGGCTGATAATCGATTATTGCAAAGCTGATAATCGATTATTGCGTGCTTCAGAACTTTGGAAGTTCAAAGCTGCAGTGGCTGATAGTCGATTGTCACTAAGGTGATAATCGATTATCACCCAGCTAAAGTTTAGCCAGCTGAAACCCGTTTTGAAAAACCGAGGTCCAAAAATGAAGTGTTCCCAAAAGTAAAAACCAAGTTTGAAAAACATTGTATATGGTATAAAATAATGAAAGCAAGACTTGTTTGGTAAAAACCAAGTCCTCAAGGTCGTAAATCACGTGCGTACGGTTTTGACCGTTTTTCACGTGTTAGACCGATTGACCAAGATACAAAAGTGGTTTTTATAAAATAATTATTCGGGAACCTTTAAAATATGCTCAGAGATAAAATCGAGGTTTAAAACATTGAAAACCACCGAGTTGGTTCGGGCGCTAAAAACCGAACGCTGAAAACCGAATGCCGAAAGCCGAACGCCGACTTAGTTGGTTTTGGTTCTGAGCAAGGACCAGGGATTTTTAACAATAAAAGAAGTCATAAAAAATGTTTGTTTTGATGCACAAAAAATGTTTTATGGTTTGTAAAAATTGTTTTGACTTTTTGAGAACCGAGACTTGAATAAATTGTCGGTTTTGATCACAAAAGACCGACTCGACTAAGTCTTCAATTCTTGATCTTGTTCTTGAGTCTTTTAGGTCTTGTTCTAAGCCATTCTTCACGCCTTGAGTTATTCAACGAAACTCTTCATATCCACGGCGGTTTGGCAATTATCAAAACCTGTCAGAAATGAACACGACTTTAGTTTAACGTACAAAGTGTGTTCCAACAGACTTTGGATCTATAATTATAACTAAAATAGACTCATACTCCATCCGTCCCCTTTTAGATTAAAATATTTCATTTCTGAGAAAATTGAGAAGTCAGATCAATAAATTTTTCCTCAAATTATCCCCCAATTAAGGAGTCAAATCATTACATAGGGTGATGGAAGGAAGGGTAAAATGGTCCAAATTGTGCTAAAGTTGGAACTTTGTAATTCTTTTTGGGACAAGAATGAGTGGGAATAGTGTAAATTCTGTCACGATGGTCAAGAATTTTCATATTACTAAAAGGAGTGGTAAAGAAAGTCACTTCAATATGCAGAAATTTCCTTTGGGGTAGTTCTAGTGACTAAAACAGCTCCTTTGGTGAAATGGGATGATACATGTCAAAAGAGGAATTATGGAAGGTTGGGGTTAAAAATGCCAATAATTGGAACATGGCCATTATTATGAAGCTGAATTGGGACATTGCAGGCAAAAATGAGGTACTATGAGTTAAGTGGATCCACATCAGGTACTTTAAGAGGGACTGATTTCAGGAATCATTTTCCAAGTAAGGACTCCTGCCATTGCTAGGTACTTTAAGAGGGACTGATTTCAGGAATCATATTCCAAGTAAGGACTCCTGCCATTGCTAGGTACTTTAAGAGGGACTGATTTCAGGAATCATATTTCAAGTAAGGACTCCTGCCATTGCTAGGTACTTTAAGTGGGACTGATTTCAGGAATCATATTCCAAGTAAGGACTCCTGCCATTGCTAGGTACTTTAAGTGGGATTGATTTCAGGAATCATATTCCAAGTAAGGACTCCTGCCATTGCTAGGTACTTTAAGAGGGACTGATTTCATGAATCATATTCCAAGTAAGGACTCCTGCCATTGCTGGAAAGACATGAGATGTGGTCAATGTGAGAAGGAGAATGAAACTGCCAATCACTTATTTTTGGAAATGTCAATTCGCACAGAGGGATTTGGTGTTTGATAGGTACAATTATCAGTTCCAAGCAAATGACTTAGAGGCCGGAGATGAAAGGTAAAAGGAGGCTATCAAAAATGAAGTTTATTGCTATATATGGGCTGCTTGTTTGTATAGTATATATGGAGAGCTAGAAATAGGATTGCGGTGGAGGAAGAGGCCTATGAGTATGTTACTAGCTATATGAACTTTTACTTTATATATGAGAGAGTAGTGAGAGGAAAAAATGTAACTGATGCTTGTATTAATTATGTGCTTTTGGTGCAAAAAAAATTGTGAGATTATTTTTTGGGATAAGGGAGTAATTGATTTTTTTGAATGAATTAAAATTGACTTTAAAAAAACAAGGGTAATAAATAGCACTAGGTACTACATACACCATCCATCCCATAAACTCCACTTTTTTTTGTCTCAGAGTCTTTTCCCTTTCTATAAAAAAAACCATTTTTACTGTTATCAATTCTTACTCTTCCTATCACATCATACTTTTTTTTTACAAATAATCTATCATCAAATTCTATTTTTAATCATCACGTCAAGAGTTTTCTTGAAAGTCAACACAAAAGTATCTTATTCTTAATTTTCCTTAAAGTCAAAATGAGAAAGACTTTAATCCTATGTTTGGTTCAAGGAATTCGGAAGGAAAAAAAAAAGAAAATGGTTTTCTCTCATTTTCCTCACCAAAATGGGAGGAATTCTATTTTTCCTTCTCTTAATCGATTTTGCCTTCTCAATTTCTTTTCTTTTCACTTTTCATTTCCTCCCTAACGAACCAAGAAAATTTGTTTTCCATCTCATTTTCCTTGAACCAAACATAGCATAAGGGATAGATGAAGTATGTAGCAAGAACCCTTTCTAAAGCCACGTGTTCGACTATCTCTATAACATCCCTGATTATGTCCCGCTGATTATCATCCGGGTTTGGATCGACAACACCAATTGCTGCATGAAGGCGGAGTACTCTCTCCATTTCTATTTAAGTGTTTGTTTCATTTTGCGTGTCAAACGTTTAACTAACTATATATAAAAATATACAACAGATTAAAATATAAAAGAGTAAAATCAATACATGGTTCTCAATTATATATAATCTTCTATATTTAGTATCCAATTATATGATATTCCATAAACAGTCCTTAATTCTTGAAAAGTGTTCCACAAATAGTCCTTTTCACCAAATATGACAATATTTTTAGTAAATTTTCAAAATGATGGACTTTTCTAGTAAGGTTTTTTCCCAAAGTAATCCTCAATAAGCAAAAATTATTAACGTGGTCTTTTATTATTTCTTAAATAGTCCTTTATCAAAAATGCATATTAAATGACACTTAAGTAGATAGTATTTTGATGTTTTTTTAAAAAATCATTTTGATGACTTATTCATAGTTTAGATGATAAAGATTTTAGAGTGTCTTCCCACATCGGAAGTTCAAGAGAAAAATAATTGGTAAATAAGCTCTTGAGTTGAACTAACTAATCGATTGAATTCAATCTTTTAATTTGGTTCAACCCAAATGTCTTATTTCCCAATCCAGTTGTTCATACTCTTCCTAAATTCTATCAAAAGAGCATCAAAACACCCTTTATTTAATTGTCAATTAATAGATATTTTTTATAAAAGACTATTTAAGAAACATATCTCAATAATAAAGTACCACGTTAATAATTTTTGTTTATTGAGGATTACTTAGGAAAAAAACCTTACTAGAAAACACCATTTTGAGAATTTACTCAAAATATTTTGTCATAATTGGTGAAAAGGACTATCTGTAGAATAGGTTTCAAAAATGGAGGACTGTTTATGGGATATCTTATGATTATGGACTAAATATAGAAAACTAAATATAATTGGAGACCATTTATAGAATTTACTCAATATAAAAATTATATGAGTACCAAGTTATTGGTACGAAAGATACTTTTAGTAATTATTTTTGATATTTTTTACTAATATATTTTAAAAAGTATTGTTGATTAAACTTTTAATTACAAAATAGTTCAAAAAACGAACAAGACAGTTAAATAGGAATGAATAGAGTATTAATTTCTAGCGCCACTCTTTTTGATGAGCTGGCATTAATTAAATGTTCTGTTTTAGGGGGGTGGTTCGGGTGACATGAACCCCCATGTTATCCCATGAAATGGGCTCCGATTAGGACATCTATGATGCTCCATTCGAAAAATTTATGGTTATTACTCCTAATCCCTCCTGTAAATCCCCCACTCCGACCCGGCCCGAACATATTCCTGCAGCCTCGTAAGATTAGACTGGAATGATTTTCTAAAAAGATAGCCACTCTGTAAGATTAGACTAAACTAGTCTTTTTTACGAATCACTGCTACTTGACAACATAAACAAAGATAAATAACAAATTCAATCTAGTTTGGTCTAGTCCTTCCGTACAAATAATTTGTTTCTTGAAGGTAGACAATAAAATGAACAAAATTTTCTTGTTGTAAACTTGTAGTCTTAGAGTTTTTTAGAGTAGTACTCAATATATAATAATTTTTCCATCCATAAAAAATAGTCTCATTTTGACTTTAAGAAAATTTAAGAAAGAAATATTTTTGTGTTGACTTTCCAAAAATATCATTTATGTGATAGGTAAAAGTAAAATATATGATGTGATAGATAGATTTAGAATTAGTAGGAGTAGAAGTGTTTTTTGATAAAAATGAGATAAATTTTGTGGGACAAGTAAAAAAAAGAAGAAGAGAGTTTTAGAGACGAAAGGAATATGAAGGTGTGATTCTATTTACAGACATTTTTAAAGTTATACGGAGTAATAGAATACAAATGTTCACTTTTCAAAAACTAAATTTAAATACATCTTTCGACCCTAAAAAATTGACACTTTACACAAAATGAAGTAAAATTTTAAATTTTTTCAATTTATTTTATTTGAGTTTAAATAGTGAAGTATGCTAATCTTTAGGGACTGAGGGAATACTTTTTAAAACTAATGAGTCATTTATTATAAGTGTATGACTCTATGAGTATATCACATTTCTAGGGATTATGTTTGTGGCATTCTTTCTCAAACTTCTAACAGTAGTTTAATACGGAGTAACATTATTACTTGTAAGTTTGTATTTCTTGTTAGATTTTTAATAGTACTACGTATGTACAAATAAAAGTAATATATGGACATTAGTCTTCGGAGGAAACACATTTAATTAATAAATTACGAAGTATGTCTCACTTATACTTTTCTTTTTTAAAAAAATGTGTCGTATTAAAAAAATTGTAATCGTATATTTAGTTGTACAATAAAGCCTTTTTCCTTATTATTTGTTTTTTCTTGTTTACATGACCCTAGTTAAAAAAAGTAAATTTGTATGAACTTATATTTTGATGTTTAAGTTTTTTTAATTTAATTGTTCCTCCGTATAATATAATAAATAATAAAAAATGAAAAAAATTATAAACTCAAAAGAAAACAAATTAAACAATCACAAATAATTGGTTGCTCCCAAATATTTTTTTTGTTCTTCTTATAAAACTATAAAAGATACCCCCTCCATCCCAATTTAATTGTCTGTTTCGATTAACGATGTTTGACTGAAGTTATTTTCAAATCATTTTATATGAAAAAATATAAACATAAAATATAAAAATCACATACATAAAAACTACATTAAAAGATCTACAAAAGTAATACTGACATGATTGACGGTTCCTACCTCCTTTAACCCCCACCCCGCCCCGACCCTAACACACCCCGCCCCCTTCAATTGCACCCCACAATTTTAGAAACCGTCATTTTTTGCGAATGAGGCACCGGAGTGCTCCTGGGTCATCCCATGACATTACCGGGCAATGTCATGGGAACCGTCCCCTTTAAAAACGAATGAAAATTTGAAAAAAACTGAATAAAGTTTGATTATGTGAATAGTAAACATGCAATTTAATTTGAGACGGAAGTAGTAGAATTTAATTCGAACAAAAATAGGTAAATATTAAATACTCCGTAAAAAATAAGTGTAATTGGTTGCTCCCATTTAAACAACCAGCTAGCTTCCTTCACAGTCACAACATGCATCAAAATCATGCCACCCAAGTACCAAATGGCCAACAAAAAACACACCTTTGCATCTGCCTGTCACCAACAACAGCACGTCCTTCGGGAAAAAAATGTCACCTAAATGCAAAAGTCCTAATGATACAATGGGCCTGTTTGAGAATAACATTAGAGATGAAGGTTAGTATTTTGGATAAAATTTTAACAATGCAGATTATTTTGAAAATGCTAACGCTAAACGCTGCCCGTAAATAGCCTTTTCAAAACGCTAATGGTAATCTCTAACGCTATTCCCAAACATGCCCAATCACAAAAAGAAGAAAGGTTATTGATCCATCTAAATATGTCAATATGTAGAAAAACATTAGGATTAAATAAGCCCTTTTTTGGTAACAAGTTAATACCCCGGAGTATATCTAAGTATTCTAAATGGGGTGGGGTGCTATGATACCATATTTCATGAACAAGCAATAACCTATACTTGCATGTCGTGGCCAGGCATAGTCCCCTTTACATTTGTTTTTCTTCTCATTAGCTTCCCACTAAGCTGCTCTGCCCTCATTTTGTGGTGAATCACTTTGTACAGTTTGCTTCCCAATTTCGCCACTCCGATTGAACATAAAAAACTTTGTGTTGGAGTTCCCACATCTGGAAAAAAACAAAGAAATGCTACTTGCATATATAGTTGGGATCCACATTATATAACCCAAAAGAGTTTAAGCCGATGGGTATATCTCCAAAATAAAGAAACACAACTCGCATATATGGAAGGGTGAAACCATATCATTAGGCATCATGTTTAAGCTTTTAGGATAGAAAGCGGATCCCGAGTTTATACACAAAGTGGTTAATTTTACCCAACACACCGCCCGATTCTCTCAACCCACAAGAATTTCAACACTTGAGCATCTCCAACCCTTTTACTAAATGCTAAAATATAGTAATTTTAGCAACTTATTTTTGTTACTTTAACCAATTTTCTCAAAAATGAGAAAATTTTGATTTGATACCTGAACCTACCTGAACTTTTAGAAAAATTTTGATTTGATACCTGAATTTCAAAATCTTTCACAAAAGTACCTAAACTTATAGGAACCTTTCACCAATAATCCATTTGCCTGTTTCCCAGTCATTTGCCGGTTATCTTAGGCCACATCATTATCTTCTTCTTCCCTATTCTTCCTCTTTAATTTCTTGGTTCTTGTTCTTTTTTAAAGAATCTTTTTGTTCTTAATAATAATAATAATAATGACTCTAATAATAAATAAATAAATAAATAAATAGATAAATAAATAAACAATAACAATAACAACAACAACCAAAAAATATTGTCTTTGACATTTTCGATGGGCTTTCTAATGGCCTTTCTAATAAACTCAAAAGTTTCTTGCCAAAAAAGCACTATGAGTCATCACCATTCACCACCTTACCAGAGCTGCCATTAGTGAGCAGATTTATTTCTTTTTTTCTTCTTCTTCCCCGAATCTAGAAAAGTTTGCTCTAGCATTCATCAACTCTACAACCCTATCGCTAAAATTTGGGAAATTATAATAAGTCCGCTACCTTTTCTTTAACACTATGTTTGGTTCAAGGAATTTGAAAGGAAAAGAAAAGAAAATAGTACTCCCTCAATTTCTTCACTAGAATGAGGAATTTGGTTTTCTCTTCCCTTAGTACTTTTTGCCTTCTCATTTTCTATTCCTTCCACTTCTTTTCTTTTCCTCTCTAACCAAACATTTAAAATGTTTTCCTTCTCATTTTCTTTTCCTTTCCCTATCAAATTCTTTGAACCAAACATAGTGCAAATGTTTGAAGCTTTCTCAACGCTGACTACTTATCAGGAGTATTAAATTTACTTCACTCCTTTCATGTTAGTAAACACTTTGAGTAGTTCTTGTTTATTATTATTATTATTATTATTATTATTATTATTATTATTATTTATAAAGAATATGAAGAATCCCTAAAAAGAACTAGAAGAAGAACCAAAAAATTAAAGAGGATCAGAAGAATAGGGAAGAAGAAGATGATGTGGACTAAGATGGCAAATGACCGGAAACGGGTAAATGGACTATTAGTGAAAGAACTAAATAAGTTTAGGTATTTTTGTGAAAGGTTTTGAAGTTTAGGTATCAAATCGAAAGTTTTCTAAAAGTTCAGGTACCATTCTTGAAAATTACCCGAGGGATTGCTAAATGATGAATTGCTAAAACACTATTTGCATGTTAAAATAGCATTTAGCAACCCATTTTTAATAATCCCATTGAAGATACTCTTAGTGGGCGAATAAAAGTAGACTTAATATTGTAGATTTGTAGGGTATTATACTATTAAGGTTAGATAGGAAGACCAGTGCTAAACCATCTCTAATATATGTCCTGAACGCTTCACTTGAACCCTGCAGCTGAGAGAAAATGTTGACCTGAAAACCATCATAAACACTATATAGGACTAGTGATAGAACTTCCATAATAAACAAAAATAAGACATGTCTGCAAATTACCCTGGGATACTGTTGTGTAATTGTATATAACTCAGAGAGACCAATCTTACATGTTTGTTTGTCGGCAATCTTCTTGAATATTGCAGCTCATTCTTGCTGAGAAAGTAGTAAATAGTTAGTTTACCATCAAGGTGAAGGCTTTGCACCCGGGACAATTAATAATAATAATAATAATCAGAATCGTTTGCCAGTGTGGAATTGTTAGCACCGATATCATCCAAATGTGTTTGTCTGGGCAGGTGTTAACATTCTTGCAGCTGCTAATGTCTGCCAAAATAAAATACAATGAACAATACCATATAAAAGATGTTTACAGCAAGTAGACTTAAGTGCAAGCGGCAAGTGGAGTCATGTGCAGCGGGAATCATGGCAGAAATGTGTCAATCTTAAAGTGTTAAACAAGAACATTACCTGAAGGTGAAAATCAATGTCTGCAAGAATGATGGGCGGTGGATGCATATCAATAGGAACCATTGTAAGGTGGCCCTTTATGGCAGTTCCACGAAGCTTAACAAGTTCATGCAAAACTGTTTTCACCAATCGTAATGGTTTGTCATCAGCTCCAGCTCTGAGTAATGTGTAAATCAAATAAAAAAAATACAATATTAACTTTATGCATATGTCAATAAGTGTCACCAAAAATTCAAATTTACAGGAACACTCTAACCATATACGAATATTTATTTAGTTTATACCAAATTAACAACGCTACTCCAGCAATATACCAGTATTTATTTAGTTTAAACATACCTCCTGATTTCCTCCATGCCTGATTCTTGAAGGTATACATGAATGCTTTGAAGAATTCTATCAAGGTCAACATCATATATGGTACCTTGGAGAACCTACATAACATATTACAAAAAGGAAATTTTTACTAGGCACTCAACAACAAAGAAGTTTTTCAACTGTCATGATAAGCATAGTGAAAATGTCAAGTCCGCTATCAGAAATATAGACCATGAAACAATACTCAAGAAACATTTTTCAAACCATACAATACAATAAGGTCTGCAATATACATTCTGTACTTAAGATAAATTTGTATGTGGTGTGACAAATAAAAAGTAGTGACTAGAGAGTAAAAGATAACACTTGTGGCCCAAGTTATTAGGCATTGTCTTATCCATTAAGCAAACAACACAACAATTTGGCCTCTTTGAAGGACCAATTGTGCCACTTGATTGACTTCTGAAAGACAAAACAAATGCACTATTACCTCAAGACAAAACAAATGCACTATTACCTCAAGGTGAGTCTGCAACTCACCTATAGGTCAGCCTAATAATATTGACCAAATCTTTTGCACTGAAAAATCATAATAGAAAGAAAAGAAAAGTTCATTATTAGAGCAGTTAGAAGAGGATCACCTTCGTAAGTTTGAGAAGACATCTCACAACCAAATCAGAGAACTTCTGATTTCTTGTAGACAGGGACTCATTTTCCATAGGAGATGGCCACCTCGAAGGGTCCAGAGGCCGTAGGAGATTGATGAGAACAACGAAGGATGTTGTCCGATCAGCATTGTCCTAAAAGATTAAATGCTATAAGGTGATTGCCAGAAGTTCATAATTAGAGCAGTTAGAAGTCCAACCAATTGTGTGCACGTCCCCACGTGCATGCGAACACACACCCCTACGCCATGCCTATGTACACACACATACACGTGCACACACAAAAATAAGAATGATGCTGCATTAAAGAAATAAGAAGGCATACAGTGCAATTAGATTTAACTCATTTAAGATCTAGGGGCTATTAAAAATGAATAACTTAGGGAAATGTGGTGACATTTTAGTAAATAAGTCATTTTTTGCTATCAATACAAAAATGCACTACTGTAAATGTAAATATGCATGGCAATAGACTGAAAATGTATCATTCTCATTTCTTGCGTTAAAAGTAATTCTCACCTAAACCGCACTATACACACACACACACACATTTGTTTTACACACACACATATGGGATTGACTCCAAAGTCAAGTAAACTTGCACCCCGCAATTGATGTGGTTAGGGGGATGAGTTGGGATCAGGACCGGGTGGGGGGGTTTACCGGGGGGTTAGGAGGGGTAGGAATTATCAATTTTGCAAACGGAGCACCGTAGGTGCCCCAATTGGGTGAGTGGCTTCCGTAGCCACTCTTTTTGAGTGGCTCTCTCTCTCTCTATATATATATATGTATATATATATATATGTGTGTGTGTGTGTGTGTGTATATATATATGTGATCAAATGAGAATGATATTTCATGAAGGAAATGAGAATGCATATGGTGCATTGGGTTTAAGACATAAGAGCTACTAAAAAGTAAAAAATAGGGGAAAGTCTAGAAAAAGTGGCATATTAGAGAATATGCCGTAAGTTGAACTCTGTTACCCCTGAAAAGTATTTAGTATCACAAACGGAAATGTAGAGACCAAAAATGCATCATTCTCATTTCTAACACCCTGTCTCTGCGGAAGAATCAGCTCCCTTTTGAAATGCACCATTCTCACACCATGCGTGCGAAAGAGATCCTAACACTAGATACCTGATTGTGCAGGTGACTAAGGAAGGGCCCTATATTCCTCACATGCTAAAAATATGCACTCATAAAAAATTAACAGCCAATCTCAAAGCATGAACAGAAACAAACACTTCTATAGAAGAGACAAAAAGATGGTAGCATCTCAAGAAGTGCAGATCTGGTTTTTCTTTCTAAATGCTAAAGCGGAAAGGGATAGAAGAACATTCTGACCAAAAAATAGATTCGTTTTATGACCAACCAATACAGCCAAATCACATGCAAGTGACATATTTTCTTATACATGCATACCAAGATCTTAAGCATCAGAACATTCAAGGCTTTCAGAAGCTGACTGCCATCATCCATTCGGGGAACTCTTTCATCCAAAAGCCAGAGAAGAAGCTCTGTAATGAGAACCATAAGGGTGTTCTCCTTGGCAGCATGAGCCAGATTTCTGTTTTGAAAAGTCTGCAGGAAATTCATAAGAGGGAAATTGTTCAGATACCGAAACTTCTGGAAGATATGGGAATTTAGTGCAGGTTTTAAAAAACTTGCCTGCATAAGTGTATTGAGAACATATCTACAGGACCTAGATGATTCACCCGTCAAACTAAATTTAAATGTTTTGGAAACCTGTAGCAACATCAAGTCAGATGCAACACCACATTAATGATGAAATAGGAAGGTAGCACATTTAAGTAAACTATCATTACATAGTTTCTTGCCTTATTTGCTAAGCAGGATACAAGTTTATCAGCATCTTTTAAAACTTGTTCCATTACACTGCCTTCAGGGTCACCCATTGCTAGCCCCAACTCATAGGATACAACTTTCATTCCTTCTATTGACTACACAACAGCAAAGAGTTCCCCAATAAATCACTTCTTACTTTTGAAACATGTATTATTAACATGTGAATTTGAAATTTCCAGACACACCAGCTGTATTTACATATATTCCAAGTAATAAAGCTTTCAGTTGAAAAATTATGCATCTCCATTCTTAACAAAAAAAATAGCTAGGCCCTAAAAATAAATATAAGGTGAGTAAACTACATGAAAAAAATTAAATAAATCCAAAGTTATATAAGAAGTTCAAAGGGCTAGCGGCGCAGCTTGTTGTACGTTTGCCTTCTATTTCAATGTATTAGACAGACAATCACTCTATGTGCATACCACCAGGACCTTTTATTCAAATATAATATACTCCACAATAAGATCAGAATGAGGGATAAACTCAGCGGATCAAGCGCTATGCGCCGTGCGGTGGAGGAAAATATGCAGCCTTCCCCTGAAAGTTTTAGTCAAGAGGCTGTATCCACAGTGGTGATTCACAATTAAAGACCTTTTGGCCACCGGAGGTCGGAGGAGCTCAGCAGTGGTACTGATGTACCCCTGGATGGCTCCACCAAAACCCTAATCTCCTCTCCTCTTCCTTCTTCTTCCCCTCTGGCCGAAACTACAACCCATCAACATACCCCACATGATTTTGTTCATTGAATTAAAACATAAAAGACCAAAACTCATGTCAAACCACAAACCTAATCAAGCCCCTCTTTGTCCCCATGTAAGGCCGAAACTAGGGGGCCAAAAACAACCCCTCTTTTATTCCCCAACATTGACCAACCATTGTCCCCCTTGTGTC